CCATAACATAAAGTAGCACTGGAAATCCGTTATAATATTTGTTTAAAAGGGTTTTTTGCCGTTGGGCTGGAAATCCGTGATAAAAAGATTTGCCTTGCCTTTAGACCTACTAGTACATATTTGTGCATTTTTAAATCTGTAAAAAAAACCTATGGAATAAACATTCGCTGTTTCATTTATTAATATCCATCATGCAAATCTCGACCCAATTAGCCACCTTTTTCATTCTCTTTTCAGTGTGCCAGTGGTAATGAAGACTGTCATTCTCAGTTTAACTACGACGTCATTCACGGAGACTGTAAACCTTTGCTACAGCAATTTTCTGGGGTGCACACGGTCATTGATATTATCTTTACATTCACGGATTATGAGAACATCCCAATCAATGTATACACCAATCACAGATTTATTACTTCTGCAATTAAACACAGTTTCAGTAACTTAGGAATAGCTAATGTAAACCACAGGAATGATGTCTGTTGCCAGGCAGCGTTCTCCTCACAACCTTTCTCACAAATAGAAGTGTTAGGAAGTTTCTCAATAAGACTAGGAGGTAAACAGCCAACATATAAATCTATTCAATTTGCAGAGGGGTCAATACGAGAAAATTTAACCAGCACTTTGCCAAATGTTAACATTTCCCTTGATTTATTTAGTGGAAAATACAAAATAGATATGACCATGCGTGTTGCAAATGATAAATCTGTGTTCGAAACTGCGCCTTGGACGAAATTAGGTGAGGCATTCAGACTAGCAAATGGTGCAGACTCTTCTTTATGCTCTGCTGTTGTTGTTTCAATGGCAGACCTTACAAGCGTTCAATCTGATGTATTTAATTTTTATATTGAATATGCCGCAGAAAAAGTCACCATAAACCGGAATCAGATTGTTATTTTTGAGAGCAACATATTTATCTGCAGGCAGGGTATTGAAAAGTTCCTAGAATCTATATCCCAAACAAGAAATAAAAACATAATTAAATCAAGGACTGGAAATATAATTTCCGTGACTATTTTTGAAATTTGGGCTTTACCTTCCATTTCACTGGCTATATTTCTGGTCCACCTTATCTTATGTGTTATTCAGTCTGGTTGTAAGAATATTGCAGATGGAATGATCATACACCTCACAGTCATATTTCTCTTGGTTCAGTTATTCTCCTCCCTTCCAGCAATGATCTCCGTGAAAACTGATGGCACTGTGTGCATGGCTTTGATAGCTACTGCCCATTTCTTTTGGCTGGTAAGTTTTCTTTGGCTAGCTAGTATGTCCTTAACGGCATTACACGGCGTCACAGGCAGTCTGTCTTGGAGCAAAAGCCCAAAGAGACATCTATTGACATGTTTTGGAACTACATATATAGTTTCATTGTTGATGATGTCGGCTGGGATTGTGTCAGACATGTGGGATGTTGTCCCGGTGAAAATGCTCTACTGCCAAGGAAAATGTTTCTTTGGTAATATCCAATCCTACCTTCTTCTCGTAGTGACACCTGCCTCACTGGCTGCATTATTCAATGCGGTGATTTGCATTGTTCTGGTTGTATATAAAATATCCGGAAAGTTAACTGCATATGCTGTTTATCCAAATTTACTGAGCATAAATTCCTGCTATAAGATGGTGTTCTTGAGCTTTGGTGTAACCTTGACTGGTTGTGTGGGCTTAATCTTTGTAAGCCTGTCCGTAGCATCAGTTGGAGACTTTTGCTACTTGGACTCTGTATCTAGGTGTCTCCAAGGCATTATCATGCTGGCAGTTACTCTGGCCTTAAGAAACAACACTGTTCTCCCATAATAGATAAATGTATCTGAATTGGAAAGTTTCAACGTAGCGCTAACTGAAAAATAGCTACGTATAGCTAAACTAGAGTATCAATACTAACATGGCACAACCAAAGACGCACTCAAAGAGCATAAACAAACGAATTTTTTGGTCCCATATGTCTGTGCTCTATGAATGTTTTATTTATTTATTTATTTAATTATTTATTTATTTAATTTTACGTCGTGAAAGAATTGATATTTTAGTATAAAAATTGTTAGTTGAAACATTAGGCTCGTGGAGGCGCTCTGTGGTTGCGGCGTTTAATAATGGGAATTAAAAAAAAAAAAACGATAAACCAAAAGGAAAAAGGAATAGATACAGTTGATACAATTTTGGGTCACTCTCGTAATGGAGACTTGTGACAATAAAATTTTGAAATTAAGAACTTGGAAACAGATTTACACATCGTGTTTTTGTGAAATGTTTTGGATAAGATATTGGAAAAAGGGAATATTATTGAAATGCCCGGGAGAATTCACTATATTGCTATATGAATTCACAACGCACATGGCATGCGTTTTTTATGTTACATAACAGTGAATGTGTAAGTTATATTCCTATTTGTGATTATTTGAGTGCTAGCTGTTAGGTACATTTAACATATTATAGTCAGATATTCACTTTTGTCGCACCGTGTTGCACCGTGACCTCTGTGTGTGTGTGTGTGTGTGTGTGTGTGTGTATGTGTATATATATATATATATATATATATATATATATATATATTTGAAATTATCAAGGTAAACAAAAGACCTATAGTTTATATGAACAATGTCTTTATACCTGTATATTCAAATTCAATTACTACCTAGATGATCAGTAAACTTAGCCCGATAATCACAACTTGCTTTATGTTCTTGTCAAGTTTATACAAAATTCAACTTACTGTTACTTAATTGGAGATGTGATCCCTGATAAGTGTGCAAACGCCCAAGAATAGTGTTACAAACGTAACTGATGTGTCACTTTTTATTTTAAATTCATGATATCTACAGGTAGCGGTATATGTTAATTCAATATCTTGAAAGCAATTGTAAACAGGCCATGTGAACACCTTTTGTACGTTAAAAGATTTAGAGGCAGATTTTTCCTCCCAATTGTAATGGTAATATGTTCGAGTACAGTGTTTCATAATTTAATGTTAAGAAACAGATTATTGTCAGTCTTATATATATGCTGTATTACTATGATATATTTCTTGTTCAATTTCTTTATTTATCTTTATTTATATTTACCTTTATTTATTGCTTTTGTTATCAGCGGTGTTGTTATTAAAGTGAATCTGGTATTTCGCCTTATGACAAAATAATGAAACTTAATTTCAACAAAGTCTTGGCTTACAACTTCAGCTGACGGTGCCATAATCGAGAATGGTTAGGCCAGATAAAAATGCTCTGATACAAATAAGACTATAATTGTGCACAATGGTAGACTAGAAAAAGGAAAATAACTGAAGTTATTCTGATCGGTTTTATCGCCTTGGTCTTAAAAGAATTTATCTTTTGTCAAACGTAAATGAATGAATGCATGTAAACTGCATGCATAATCCAAGAACATATGTATTTTTATTCCCACCTTCGTGACTCGCCTCTGTCATTTTTGTTTGTCAGCAAGATGGTGTCAAAACCCTGATGAACCTTATCACGGATCATCACCAGATCAATTCTAGAATACCCCACTTCTGAATCCGGTACATTTAAACTGATTTTGGTCCTCTCTGCATGTAGATATAGCTCGCTTTCTTCAACAACATAAACAAAATAAAGAAGATCCAAAAATAAGGGGGTGCACTCCAAAACCGTACATCAATTAGAGAAGGTAAAAATGCGTTCTTTTTTCAAATAACTCAAATCTCATATAAGAAATGATATTGAAGGGACCGATACAGTGCTGTACATGTAGTGGTTGCCTTTCTTCACTAATAGTGTGTTAGTGTGGCGTCATTAGTAACGCTCTCATAATTCACTATGTTCCGTCTGGGTGTTCTCAACGTGAAAATGCCAAGCAGTAGATATGAAAACAAGGCCGTTTCCCACGTAAACCTCTGTCCAGGAATATCTTTCATTGTCGTTTAATTGGCTGTATTATTTTCCGTGTGTGTGTGCGCGCGCGTGCGTGTGTGTCATGTGATTAGAGGAAACGTGACTCATCATGATACGGAAGTGTAGCAAATGAGAAACATCAACCTAATAATGGCAATTTCCTCCAATCCTGATTACATATGAACACGTATTCTATCTCCTATTTGTGTGGCGTAAAATTGTGCTTATTAAAGCCTATGCTTTGGTTCCCCGTATATGATAAACGCAATATGGATGCATCCGGCTTAAAATGAAGGGCCGTTTGAAGTTATTTTATGTGAGTTGAAACGGGTATCTACATTTTGCTACCTTGATATTGATTGCGCATTTGAATTTCGTAAACAAAATCACCAAACCTAAGACTGTTATTGAAATAAAGACAAGTACAAGACGAATATCTACAATTTTTCAAACACATGACAGCTAGTGCTATCCATGATGTTCCCTTGTTTGAATCATAACTTCTCAATCCCAACAATCCTATTTTATTCAGCGCCAACCCATGGGGCCAAAACAAACAAAGATATACCAGGTAGAGCTTTAAAAATAGTACGGGGGTCTCAAAAAGAAGCAGGTTACAATGTACCAGTAGCACTTTTACTCTTGTCAATAATTTTGTGTTTCTATACAAATAAAAAAACACTCTTGGGCCCAAAGGATTTTTCTGAACCAAGAATGAAGATTCACTAATCGCCACCTTGAATTAACGGTCATTCTTGACTGTATTGCATATAGTTACCAACTTAATCTTCGTGTATCTTAAGGTACAAACAGCGTATTTTCAGAGCATTACATTGTACGCCATGATCACGTGGAGTCCTTAAATCACATTATACATTTCATATACATGTGTGGCTTGATGTAGCTGCTGTTTAAGAACAAAAAGGTCACCGTGGGCCAATTTGCATTACCGTAATAATTAATTATCTGAAAATGCTGGTATATCGACATTTAAGCAATCTGACAAAGTTCCATACTTAATCAATAAATGGACTATTATACTCTTACATTGCAGCTGGACTTGTAAGTTTATTGACCCACATAAACTCGCTTCAGCATTCAACTAGCAAATATAAATTAAAGCACCAAGCCCAAACCACCACACAGCACACTACTGCGAAGTGAACAAGACGATTGAGAGACGTGCTCAGCATTCAACTGGTTGTGTATGTTAAAAATGGTGTAAGTATTAGTTGTCCCGAAGTAAAAAAACAGATTGGCATTAATGTAGATGGTATATCTAGAGCAGTACAAAAGGAAAATATGGTTGGTGTCATTTCAAAAACTGGTAAAAATGAGTTGGCCTGAAAATGGCGCATACTGAAGTGTTGAGAAATAAAAGGACAACTGCAAGTTAGTTTCAGGGCTGTCGAAGCTTATGGATGCTCTCTTTCAGATAAAAAAAAGCAAGTATCATATACACGGCAGCTATTTGTCGAGAAAGAGATACATTTTTGGAATTTGTTCCGTAATCGAGTTGATATATCAGCATGGCATTCTTTTACTGTCCGATGTTAACAATATGTCTGTTTGCTCTGCAGGATGCTTCTATCCCAAGTTACTTTTGTTATCATGGTGTCTCTCGTTCTCTGGTCTGGTGGCAGGGCCCGTCGTGGTGGTAGACGGGGTCACCATTATTCGAGTAGAAGCAGATATAGACCTGGATCCTTCGGTGTCTGGCACCCTTCGGGACAATGTGATGTCTCACAGCAGAGTTACGAGGTGTACGATCACACATTCGTGTTTATTATGGACGGAAAACATACAGGAGAAGAATTGGACCCTGTCAGATTCCTGAACCACCACCGTTGCGCTGGGAGACTCACGTAAATTTTTAACTATTTGTTAATTTCAGTTTTTCGGTCACTGTAAAATGCCATCATATAGCTGTTTGGAGACAGAGCATACATCTACAAGTAACAACGTTACATTAAAGGACTTAAAGATAGGTAAAATGTTAAACTAATGACTTGTAACCTGAGTTTTAGAGCGTGCTAGAAACTTACCGCTGTTAGTAGCACATCTGTACCATATCCAAAGTACTGAACGGTAATAGTTGGCGTGTAGTGGCTAAGAGGAATCAAAAGGTGATATTTGGTATTCACTTGTCTCTGTAATACATTTTACCCATACTTGTTACCTAAACATAAATACATGAGCTTCATAAATCGATAGCATATTTTCGAACCAAATTTTGGTCACTGAACGCAAAAATAAATTAACACACCTGGAGTACTGCTGGCGTTTTTGTTTCCAGATTTAATGGAAATAAATCGAAACAATATTGAACATATTCTTAATGTTGAATGGTTGAATGTAACACCTTAAAATCCTGAGGTTGATAAATTATTTGCAGCAACGAAAGCATTATAGAAGAAGGGAAAAAAGCTGTCCAGTTCTTTGAAGAAGGGTACGGCCTCGATCTGTCTAACGTCACGGATTCGGATTTTATTAATGGACAAGTCCCAGTTGAGGGTGGAAGACTGATCTTTAAACCGTTCATCGTTGACCTTAGTGACAATTACAGGCTAATCTCAGGTGAGAGAGAGAGAGAGAGAGAGAGAGAGAGAGAGTGAGTGAGTGAGTGAGAGAAAACGTCCCTTTTTTGGAAGCAAAGGTGAAACAACTGTGTATGGTGCCTGATTTTTTACTTAGCCCATCATGCCCATTTTCTAATATTTATGCTTTGTATAGTTTAATTTGTATATTATTATTAAATTTCATCAGAAACGGACCGTTATTCCGGCAAATTGCACAAAGATGTCCCAGTGTCTGATGCAGGGTGGATGCTGTCGGTGGAAGAACCTTTGGATGTGAACGGAACTCTGTTTACCGGACGCCTGGGATTGCCAGATACGTTTATTTTTTATGCTGACTATATCTTTCAGGTAGTGGTTGTGAAATTCATGTTTTGCGTAATTATGGTAATCTTAGAGGATAAGAGTATTACCCCATTACTTTAAGCTTTTTAGCTAGGAGATAGGCCCTAAACTGATCGAGAAAAATAACCTAAGGTAAAAGTGACTTTGAGTGTTTGAAAAACATCTGGCAGAGCACGAGATGTACTGGTTCCACTAAAAGAATTAAAGAAATACAAAGCTTTGATCTGTGTTTGATCACGCTTGTTTATACACTTCAAAGTGGCCCACACCTACCGAAGCCTGGGTTACATTTGCCTGAATTTGGCCAGCTGGGTCAGAGGAGGACTAGACATATTATCACCGCCTGTTGGCATAATTGTAACCCGGTGTAAAGAAACTGAAGGTCCGTGTATCAGAAAGCCCGTCCTCCATTCAGTTATTATGGTTAGGGTTAGCCTGGCCTAAGAAATCTAGGGCGAGGCTTCCCTGTACAAATGAATGAGAAGCTTAGTCTCCATTATGGGGGACTCTCTGTCACGTTACACAGGTTTTCTTACACCCTGAACCTCGAACATGTTGTCATGGGATACGGAATTGTGACCGATTGAGTATTTACTCAGTCTTATGAAAAAATATTTGAATATTAAAATACTAGTAAAAAAATAGAGCGGCCACTGACGATTGCTCTGACAATTCTGTTGGATGATTGTTCCATAAATCCATTCGCTATTTCTACGCTGCTTATTCGTTTTGCTGATGCGCTGGAAAGAGTGATTTCACACGCTGATAGTCGATTTCACATAAGATACTCAAGCGTTTGTCTTTTGCGCTAAGTGTGACAGCGTCTTAACCTAGTCTTCAGACATAGGGTTGAAGCTTAAATGTACAGTATAAGGTTCGTCACAGTGCTAGTATACGGTTACATTATGCATCCAGGTTTAGGTTTTCTTTCGATCATTTTGAGAATTTGAGCAATGTATGAGAATTTGATAGATAGATAAATATACAGATGGATGGATGGATTGGCAGACAGATTGCGTTATTTACGTTTTATTGCTTCATATTTTAATATATTAAAATATACGACATCAAAACAGTGGTAATCTAGCCCTTTTCATTTCAGGCCCATTTTAGAAAAACCATTATTCACTACGAGTCTCGGTACCCTAGTGTGGACATAGGGGGGCGGTTCCAGTTCTTCGAGGCAGCCCTGTTCAGTGACGAGTACGGGGAAGGGTACACCACTAGCATCTTTGAAGTAGAGCCCGTTACACGTAACAAGCAAGGAAGAGAAGTGCTGACGTTTCCTAAACGGAAAACAAACTAGCCGTCTTGAGTCAGTCTCCGAGTATGACAGATGATAGATATGAATTGAACTGAATTTCGGATTCACCTCTCGTTTGCAGTTTTTGAACTGTCAAAAAGTTAGTACTTTAAGTAATTTTGTCTAATGAAAATTCTAAATGTCACATGAAGTCATTTAAAGTGATAGCGAATAACCGACAGACAGAAGCTTGGGCCCTTTTCTGGCCAAGAATTGATATAAAAGTGGTTCCGCCCGGGATCGAACCGGGGACCTTCTGCGTGTTAGGCAGATGTGATAACCGCTACACCACGGAACCGCCATACTTTCCTAACAGAAACTCATTTTCCCTCTATAATAAAATGGGCTCATTATGTGCCTGACCAAAACAATCTGGTTTGCATTTACATATCTCAATAATACAATGCAGATTAGACATAAATGAAAGATGCATATTAAGCGATTACTTGAGTCAAATTATCGCAGCTGGCCAAATGCCGCTGAGGTGTTTCAATTAGTATGGCTTAAAGAAACAGCACAGAGTTCCATTATATTATTTCTCGAAAAGAACCGCCTGCACTCAGCACGACACCGACAAGAGCAGCTTTGCCGAAACAGGTGCCCTTGAACAATGATTTCGGTGTAACGTAATTGAAGGTCCGCCCTCCATTTAGTTATAATGGTTAGGGTTAGCCTGACCTAAGTGGCTCAAAATATAGGGCGAGGCTTACCTGTGCAAATGAATAGGAAGCGGACTCCCTATCATGGGGGACTCTTTGTCACGTTACACCGACTAAAGCCAAAATTGTCCTCATGTTCACTTTGCGAAAAATATTCTCTTCGATAAAGCCTGATCACCACGAGTTTCAGAGCATTGGCGGACTCTTGTCTTGTTTGAGCTTTTTTTTTTTTCAAATGTGTTGCGTATGCTTGTTAAATATAAACCAGTTTCTGACTGGCTGAAACGTAGGTCAAGGTGGGAGTAGAGCAAACACGTACATCCTATATAACAACCTACGAGTAATTTTGAAGCCCAGGGCAATATTCAATATATTTATACATGTAGAGTGCAAGAGACCAAATTATGTATTCAGGTAATTTTTTCTTCCTTAAAGGGATAATAACTGTTCGTTTTGGCCAAAAAATGAATTTTCCTAGAGTAAACAACAATTTTCCCATACTTACCAATGGTAAATGAATCCATTTCTACATTCAAAGTTAGTCTCTGTTTTTTTTTTTTCTAAAAAGTTTTTTTTGTTATAATCTCTTAAGAGATTTTAACAGAGTATAGCCACCAATGGAGGTCACGTGCTCTAAAGACAAGCTCAGATATCAGAATAATAGCTATAACTGCCGTTTTTGTGGTAAAACAGAATATATTATATTTCCATGAGTTATTCACAATGTTTTTATTGTGAAATATAGATCTCATACGAAGAGTTATTATCCCTTTAATATGTAAATCGTCAGCAAATTATATTTGACCGATTATTAAGGTGCGGTTGTTTAAAATGGGGAGTCAAGGGGCTTTCACAATGATAAGTGCTTTCTCTACTGAAGAAAATTGTCGTTTTGTCCTTTCAAAATATCGAACGACCAATAGAAGAGTAGAGACGACACAAGTGGGACATCCTGGGCAAAAAAAAAACATTCTTCTTTAATAAGATCCAGTCTTATCATCTTCAATGATGCACAGAATTCAATTTTTGTCCACGTATTTCTTTTTTTAAGATCAGGGCATTTTACAAATAAGTCGATCAAGTCTGTGAGATTCCAAATACAGGCTAGACAGCAAAACTTAAAAATATAAAGACAGCAAAAAAAATAATAATAAAAACTCCTTGATAAAGCTGGATTTGTAAAGGGGCCTTCCTTTCTACAACTGAATATGGCTCGGCGTCCCAAACAAACAAAAAATAAATAAAATGATCAAATAAAACACAGGCAGAAACAAAGAAAAAAAGCAGTAACTTTCGTAAAAAAAAACAAAAAAAAAAACCAAAAAAAAAAAAAAAAAAAAAAAAAAAAAAAAAAAAAAAAAAAAAAACTAGTAATATACAAAAAGAACCTGCCATAGAAAGACCCTCAGCAAAATTTGAAGTAAAACAAAAATGACAGTTCTGTACTAAATCAGGTGATCGTTGACAAAATACATCCAAAAATCAACGACCTTTTGAAAAATAATTCCACCTTGCTGATTTTCTGGAAGCTTTTTTTTTTCAACCAAAGAATGCTACTAGTACTTAATAAATTTAAAATAAACAAAAAAGTTTGGTAATTGTTTGGACCCATGTCGGGAACAACACGGACAGACACAGTGATCAGAACATATAAATCTGCACACTGTATCTGTATATAAGCTTATCCAAGATCTGAGGAAAAGGAGATGGCTACAAAAATTAGCTAGAATATTACCGGATAATATTTATAAAACCTGAAGCACAAAACTTTCACAGGAAGCTATGGCAGTGAATTCCAAGCAGGTCTGTCAAAAAATGAAAATTGACTTGGTAAACAAATCTACATTGAAAATATCCCCTACAGTAACAAGAAAAATTAAATGCATTCAAATTCTACTTTTTATGGAATATTTGATCAAACAAATGCCTTTCAATTCTGTTTTGTTCATTTTCTATGCACAAGTAATAATTACACACGTACTTGATAAGTGTAGTATATACGATTTATATAAATATACTTAATACAAAAGATAAATTACTTTAAACATGAAACAAGACAGCAAAGCCATAAAGTCTTATATTACCATACCATTCAAAGCACTCAAAAACATCCAGAATAAATTAATATGGTTACTGTACATGTCTTAATTTGTTACATACCTTACACTACAAGTTATACGAAGATTGAACATTAATACAATAAATACATATATCTTCAAAACAAAAGACTTTAACTACCCACTATCAATATATGTGATAGGACAACTGGCATTGAAGTTATATGCAGATCCAGTGAAGTAAATAAAGGCTATTTTCAGGTTTAGGTAAGGCACAAAAGGAGAAAAGAATTGGTATAGACAATTCTTCCCCAAGACATAAGTTGCAAATAATTAGGAAGACTAGATATGACAAAAGTCTTTATTTTACTAAACCTGATCAAACACATATAATTTATCGATTGACAAGAAATTACTCAAATCAAAGAGCACTTTTTCAATTTTTCCTTGTTTACTGAAAACATTTCACCATACAATTTCATTTTTATGGACTTGTAGTGCTGTCATTGCACAAATGTGCCAAAAGTGCTGTTTATGGTGCTGGGATGTGTCCATAAATCATGGTAAAGTTTATATTTCTTCAAATGTATAGGAAAAGCCCATAAGGGATGAATTCCTTTCAAATACTAAGACATGATCTTTACCTGGTTATAATAATTACTTTTATGTATAATAACAAAATTCAGCAGTTATTTCCTGGCACTTATGGCTAAAAATATCACCTGTGGTAAAAATATAAGTCTCTGACCCTAATCTGATGACAATTTTGCATATATTTTTGCTGCCTTTAACATAATTTCTGAACCAGCAACACATGTACTCATCTTCTTATATTTTCCTGCAGTGCAAGTCAAATATCTAGGTCACTGCTAAATATAGCTGTTTGGGTGGGTCCTACTACTTTATTTTTACTTTGGCATTATTTGGCGGTTTCCTGTTCATTTCACAGATGTAGCTAACCCTACATCTTTAGTCCTTGCCTGAAATATCATGTTTAACTTCAGATCTAAATATTTGAGTCTCTTTACTGTTTGCAACAGGTCCATGTGATCTGTCATTTTGCCAAGTACACGAACTTTGTTCAGTTGTCTCTAACCTTTTAGATACAGTCCGTTTGTTGGCCTCACTGTCACTTTTTGTGCCACCCTCACTGTCAGTTCGGTTTTTAGGCTCTCTGTTCCCGTAGGCATTGTATGGAAGAGTGTAAGTATTGCTCTCTTCAGTTTCTGCATTGTTACCATGCAGAACAAACTGCCAGTGAGCTTCCATTAACCTCCTACAGGCAGCCTCATCTTGGAAGGGATTCTCAGGGAATTGAGATTTCAGCCATTTTCTTTCCTGAAGTAGATGACCAGTAGATATGTAGGATGATGGACGTTACCAGTCTGCTTCTGATTACATTGTAGCATCAAAAACAAGGACTGGGAGGTGAATAGTAATACCACAAATGATGTACAAAAGTTAATTTTTTTTCGTTGCTATGAATTCTTATCATGTATGAATATTGCATACCAAACAGTACTGAATTAAGCTACAAAATATGACCACAACTTGCTTTAATTTATGGAAGAGACAAACTTCTTACCTGTTCTAGCTGTTCCTCCTCATAGTTACCAAGCTGTCTCTGAAAGCCAAAGTTTGGGTTGGCACACTGGCGAGCCCCTCTCACTGCCTTCAGGGTGTCCCTCCAACCAAGATTTGTCACCGTCATCAGATACGCCACTGTCACTGTCACACTTCGCGACACACCTGCTAAGCTAGAATGATAGTATATAACATTAACATCAGCTAATACAATGCATTATCACCAAATATGAAAAACTAGAGTCACTTAACTAAGAGACATATTGTATGGAAAATTTGTTTAAGTTACATTCAATTTCAGATATCACCAAGCAAAAAAATCTGTTCCACAAGATTTGTTCAAGATAAATGATAAGGTGAGTTGATAATAAGATGACAAGTTACATGCAGTCTACCACAGTCAGAATGACTACTGCAATTTTCAGTGTAACAATAAATTTTTTCCACTACTTCACATTGATTTTGGCTTAAAATAGGATTTAGTAAATAAGAAAAAATTATAAGACAGTTGAAGTAAACTGTTTACTACCAGTGAACTAGCACCGATCCTCCTGAGAGTCTGGCAGCATGGATGAACTCATTGCACTGTCTGAAGAACTGACTCAGGTCCTGAGCTGCATTGTCACTTGCCTTTATACACAGATACTCCTTGTCCTGAAACACAATAATAATAATAATAATAATAATAATAATTCACAACTTGTAAATTCCAAGAAATACTGAACAAGTATAATAATAATAATAATAATAATAATAATAAAACATGAGTTATAAAAAATTAAATACATACAGTAACTTGCAAATGTTCTAAAACATTGAATGATACAAAGACCATATAAACAGAAAAAGGAAATATTATGCTTACAGTAAGACAAAGTCACAACAATCTCAAGGTCTTTGCACTCGTGACTGCTACTACTTACATCATGTAACTTCTTGGCCATGTCATGTATAGACAGAATATGTGTTATGTTATTACTGTCAAGCCGTTTACGATCTTGGGCATCTCGGATATTACCCACATAGAGCCCTTCTACAATCTGAAAAGGAAATAATATCTAGTTCTTTTTTATCTAAGCAGAAGGTATATCACAATAATTGGAAATATTGTTCCAAAGCACTTCTACATGCATTACATGATTATATATTCACTGTTGTGCTAAAGTCCAAAAAGAAAATTATAAGTCAGTTTTTTCCTGTCAATTTCTTTTTATGTTATATGTTTCACACTATGAGTTACATTAATTTTGATCCATGAAATTGTCATTGACCACAATCTATCATGTAACTGAGCACTGACAGAAGAAAAAGATTTACATTTGCCATTAGTTTAGTAACAAATGATATGACCTTGTATAAAATACATGTTGAACTTCTTACTAGTGCACTGAAAACATATGACTCATCCATGACAAGCAATGAGAAATCTATGAAATATGTCCCATAACTACTGAGTAGATATGATAAGTTATTATTAATCTGAGGCTACCATTCTCTTTCTTTCTTAAAATGAATGTGATTTATATAGATCTTGATCTACATAGAGAACTCATGACCAATTAAATGTACATCAATATATTTATCCATTCAAAGCAATGGCAACGCAATGCGTACAGGTGAATGCTTGTAATTGTCACACGCACTAGTACAACAAAATATTATCCAGCTATGACGTACTACAGGGAAATGATTGAGAGAAAGTGCCAAGCAAAAGAAAACCAACTGTGTCCTGAAGGAAGAGATTGTTCAATATACAGAAATATATAAACTGGAGTACTTCTGGATGCCATAAATGCACAGATGAACGTTGAAATGACGGATTTGATCAGTAGTTGTCACTATCTTTTATCGTGGAGTCGTGCCTTACGAAGTTATGGCGACGTCGATAGAAAAATCCAAGAAAACTTCAGCCGGCGACTTATCACTACTGACAACTATAGTGCCTTTTAAAAACCCACCTTGTTCATTCCATTTCCCATCCTTGGAGGCTACTTTAATATCCTTGCAAATAGCGTCTGATGCATTCAACTCCAGTTTGCCAGAATTTCATGTTTCTTCAAGATGATTCATTTGACACTGGTGCTGTTCGGCGGTACTTAATAAAGTCGTAAATAGTAATGTCGTAAAACTTCACCAAACACGACTTTGTCATGAAACTTAAGAAACATATCACGTAAAGGAAATATTCAAAATTTCAATTATAAGGGAGACTTATTAAGCTTTGATATTTGATTATTTTTCAAATCGGGCATTAAGCATTCTGCTTTATGTAAGTACCTACTTAGGGGAAGATACTACTGGAGGTAGCCTGAAGATATGCTATATCAGGCCACAAGAAAATGTCAGGCCAGTTGCAAGAGGTCATCTCAGACCTTCGCTGTCGAAATTTGAACACAGAAATACGAGGCAGCTACTGGGGCTACTATGTCATTGTGATATTTATTTATTTATTTACTTATTGGTAAATTTAGTAGAATCGAGAGGGCTTAAAACCTTGAAAGTTTTTCTAACCGTTAATAATTCCAAAGCGCAAAATTACACGGATAAGAGTGGCAACTGCAGCAGATCCTATGATTTCAAAATAAGGTGTTGGTTTGGGACCAAGGTCTATCACCCACACACACACATGCACAAAATAAATAAATAAATAGTCGATTTTGGGGACCGTGTCACAGTAGTGTATTTTTTTTTTTTTTTTTTTTTTTTTGTTACTCTTACAGATTTCTTAATTTATTAAGTAAACATACCGTTATGTAAAATATTTCGTCCATTTCACGGAGGCATATTAGGAACATTTGTCTCAACCAGGATCAACTGACGCAATCAGGACTAATGGTGTTGGAATTCTACAGCCAACTGTTGCAATTTCTTTTTATATCGTGTGTTAGCATTTTATTATGTTGCGCCTGATAAAATGAAAGGGCGAACTTTTAAGAATGGTAATAATAACGAAAATGAAAAGCAAAAAAACAGGAACAAATAGCAAAACTTATCAAAGGTAACCAATCAGGTTCTCTTTCACAGGACTAGACCTAGGTTTTACTAGACCTAAAAAATAATGCGGAGGATAAAACTTTGGATTATAATGGATCTTGCTCTGCACATAACCTTTGATTGACTGCCTTTGTCTCAGGTGCGTTTGGTGTTATCAAGATAGCACCCAGTCTTCTGCTTGACTGCAACATTCACCTCGACTAGCTATAAGCTTGGGGACGAACCATCAAAAAAGCGTGGGCTATTCAGCCGTGTGAGAAAGAGTTTGCCCCCTTGCTTTCTGCCCTTATGACTGACTTAGTTGAAAAAAGGGTGGGTTGGAGTAAGATCCTTTTCCCCCTGGCTCCGACGGCTTAATTTTAAAGATGCATCACGAGATTTATATAATGTCACGAAAAATTGAACGTTTCAATTTAACCTCTCCCTTATTTTGTGATGTCTATATTTAGAAATCAAGCTGTATGTTGTATGCCTTCAGAATTCACGACTGTCTGGTATCTTCTATGCACAGTCTGGGCACTTAGTTGGACATGTGCACGTTAGCCAGAGTTCCCAGTGCCTATATCCCGCGAGGTATCAATCTGACATTTACTTTCCAAGGCAGACATATTTCTTCGTTGCGTAAGCGATGAGGTTCTTGGAAGTAATCGTGTACTTGTCTGACTTGTATACAGAGCCGCATATCATTAAATAAGGGAAAACAGGCAACATTTTTGAATATTATCAGATGTTGCACTTGGTAATGTCAGTTTGTTTCTTGTCTTTGTGTAATTATCGTGAGTGCAAAACAAGAAAATGAATCAACGATTTGCTGTGTTTTCTGTTATGCAAAGACAACGGGCACCTGACGTCATTATGACGTAAATACATGACGTCGAGTCGACGTTGTGTCCGTGATGGACAGGACATCACAATGATCTTATTTCAAACAGCCAAAAATTAAAACGAATTAATATGTCACGAAAAGTGATCTAGTGTTCCAGGGACGTGATGTGTGACTCTGTTCTGTTTCATGGTGCTGTGAATTTTGCATCATGGTGTACTAAATGAATACATAAATATTGGGAAATAAAAAGAAAATTTGATAAATTATGGACGGATATGTGGATAGCCTAGTTCAGACAGACAATTTGAGAAAAGTGTCTAGATCTTTAAGTCATGACACTCAAAGGTAGGCAAATTATTATACACTGTATGAGTATTTGAAAATACGTGATATTATTCTTTTTGAACTTCGATTTCTAACCAATAGACTTCTTAGTACTGGGTTTAGTGAACTATTGAAAAATGAACATTCAACTGCAAATACTGCAAAAAAAAAGTGTGACAATTCATAGATTCTGGAGAACATTGGGTACTTTCCGCTGCAATAAACAACCACTTGTGATGGCTAGCGGATGATATATTTCTTGTAAAAGATTAAACAGACTGGAACATCATAGAAAGTCTAGGTAATAAGCCAATGTTTGCTTAAAGCAGTGTGAAAAACTTTTTTTATGAGTTCCCAGGATGTAGATATCAAAATAGTTATAGCAATAAGCCGTGCAAAGAATAATCTTTCTTGCATCTGAAAGTGCGCCATAAATACTCTTCTCCTAACGATCTCTCTACCTTGAACTTGAATGAACTTTTAAGAGGCGGTCTTTCAAAGTAGCTTGAAGACAAAAGTTTTCATTTGAATTTTATAGATGTAATATTGCTACACATTAGACGTAGTTTTGATTTATCTTTAAACGCTACCCTATGACGAACGTAATCGTTGTTTTGGGTAGAATTGTGAATACTCGATAACTTGTGTCACTTCAATTCGCAAAATTTGCAATTTTTCAAATTTTTCTTTTTTTTTTCTGTGAAAAGAAGAGACGATGATTGATAGCGGGTGATTGCGCTTTTCTTAATTATACGTTCAATTAACTGAAGTCCATTGTAAAGATATCGAGAAACGGAGGTATACTTCATTTGCTTATAAACAACTACCAAAAATTTTCGAGGAGGCAATGGTAAGGAAATAAGTGGCGCTCTTATCAGATAGCTGCCTCAGTGTAATTTAGTAGACGGCAGTTCAGATGGAACGTTCTACCTTTGTGGGACTTTTTATTAATTTCCTGATAGCGTAGTTTGTAAACGTGAAATTATATCAAGTAATCTTAGGAAGTTAATTTGTAACTTGATTTGTGACGAAAGAAAATATTATATACAGCATAGGAGGTGGATGCAACATTTTTTTCAGTATTTTGACCGTAAATCTGACCTTACTGTTAGTCATCCTAATCTTATGTAATACAACGACCCGCTGAGTAACATAAATCTGGCCGCTGGCCCATGCCTATTCCTGGACAACAGTCAGCTGATGCATAAGAAAAGGTATCCGCTTTTTATAGAAAGAACATTGGTGGTTCCGCACATAAAACATGATAACATACATACTGGTGAAGAAAAAAAGGGAAACATCATCTGCAAGTTCTTGTAAAACTATACATCAAAGCGGGAGCAGGAGGTGGCTTCACTCAATGTCTGTATGATCTATAGTCTATTCACTTTTGACGTTCTTCGTATTTCAGTCCTGAGTCAGACACATATATACCTATAGGAAAACGATCAAATGCGCCCTGGTCCATAAATAATAAAACGTGATTATTATTGTTTATCCCTAGGCTAAATGTGCTTTATTTGTTTTTATATTCCACATGGAAAAATAACCATTTCGCAGATAAATAGAGCAAAAACTGTCTGAAAAAAGCATATGCTCATGCGGTTATTTCTCTTCTTAGGCCCTGTTGGCACTAGCATGAATTCTCAGAATATCGGCGCAGATAACAAGCTGCTTCTAACCCGAGGTAGTTTTTCCTCGCAAATACTTCATTGAGGTTCCAAGAGGGAGTTCGACGGGACCCTTGTCAGTTGAAACACGCTTTTTCGATCCTGTACAAATTGTACAAATTGCTGTAAGTCTACCTGTACCTCAGTTTTTTTTCTAAGTGAGCTTACATGAGTCACAATCTGAAAAAGGCAGACATATTAATCATAATATGGATCAGCTTGATTAGGGCACCTAAAGCAACTTGTAAAGAGGAGCGTTAGTGCCTAGAAACTATTTCTGGCTGCTGCCGCAACAAAACGTCAGCATCAGTATCCCTAACAGAACCTCTCGACTTGAAGGGTTGAACGTCCCAACACGTGGCGGAGATGGCCAGTGAGGGCCAGGTTCCGGTCCCTGAGAGACCGCTGGACACCAGCAATATGTCTCTACTGCAATATCTATGGAAACGGAGGCAAATACTTGACGAGGTGAGTGGGAAAGTGGGCTTGAATCTGTTCCAATTACAGGGAGGAAAGCTGTTTCTCTTCAGATTTGTGTTTTCTTGCCGCGCTGTAAATTGCGCAAAAGTGAAAGATAATGCTGACAGACAGAATATTGCTTTTCTTCGTATGTTTTGAGGTAGCTGACTAAAATTCACGGAATTGAAAAAACTTGAAGAGTTAAATTTATTTCAGTTTCAAATGTCGAGTGATCCAATAACCAGTAAAAACCATATCTGCCTGTCGAGCATAGTGCCTTAAAATTATCTATGGCCCTAGTAACATTTTATGTTTACAACACTGCAGAACCAATGTAGGCCTATCCGTAGCGTTTCGAACACGATTTCACAGGCTCTTACCGATGAAAAACTCAATTAAATCCCCGTTTCTGCAGCTCAATTTAAGAAGAAAAAAACGCGCCTCATTTAAAAATGAAAATCAAATAGCAAGAACAAAGTAAGTTTAAAATCTTGTCACTTATCAAACTCATTATCTCATCCGAGATAGTTAACATGACTTTGGAATAAGGGGAACATATCGTCCTTGAAAAAGGCAAACCTAAACGCGTTAGACATTGTATAAAAGTCTGAAAAAAACATTACATTTTGTCGAATATTCTAGCCATGAAAAGCATTAAAATTTTGTTGAATATTCTTGTCATAAAACAGTGACGAACCCGTTCGTCCTTTACGCCGTACAGGTATTGCATTCAGAATACATAAGGCGCTTCGTTTCTTGGTGTAATTGAATAGACACCATATCAGCTCAGATATCCTTGCCAAGCTGAATGTAACCTTTCTAAGAGGGTGCGATGCTTTTCACCTGCTTTTCGGGAAAGGGCGGATTTATTTCTATCAGTCGAATTGATGATACGGCAATTCTAGAAACGCGGCCTGTTTCTTTTAATGCCTTGAAAAACCATGTGGCGTAGTCTTGTATTGCTGACAGCGGGTTAACACGGTAGTACATGTATCACCACTGTGTGTATCTCCGTGAATATAATTAATCTATGGTGTCAATACTGTTTGTTTCCCCCTGAATAGATATTAATCTTTATTGAACAGGTAAATCACTGTATGGCCATGGCTTCAAAGGTCATGTTACTATATAAAAAAGACATTTATTATACATATTAAATTTTCCAGGCGGAATAAATTGTTGACTGAAAAATGTATGACTGTGTTCAGTCGAGAAAAATTTTATTCATTTATTAATCTATTTATTTATTCCCGCATCTTTTATATCATTTCATCGCATTCTGTTTCTCACTGATATTTTTTCCGTTTTTCCAACAAGCAATATTTGTATTTATTTAATTTCTGCTATTTGAATTTAATTAAATGTCTGTTTTCCTGTATGATACCCCTAACTTATTTCTTCTAATAACCCTGACATAAAACTACTAGTAGAGCTTCAAGTGTAGTGGAATTCACATTGTTTTCCCGCTATACTATGTTCACAAATGCAAAGCGAAATGTAGACATAAAGTGGAGTAGGTGGGTTGTGCATGCAAGTTCGGGGGTGTTCCCGGGTCGTTACGCGGTCAAATTACTTGGTAGACGGCTGTGAGACGCTTTGAAGTGATGACCACCTGGGTGAAACGCGGTGTTACTTCCTCTGTAGTAGCACCTGTCCTTTCCAGTAGACCGGTGTTCATAAGGCGATTATTAAAATATACGCAAGCTGTAAAGACAACCACTCAGTCCGATCCCTTGTTCCCCCTTCACTTCCAGTCTGGAAACAATTCGTTTTGTTTTGCAGTCCGGTGAGCACGGTCCCTCCCCACCCCTCTCTTGGGTTCTACCTACTCTCTGACCACTGTAGCCTAGCACAAGTAGTCTGTTACAATTTAAAAAAAAAAAAATTGTATGCTAGTTTAAATATCCCTGATATCAAAGTGCAGATTCTGCTCAGGCTTTCAAGCGCCACTAGTAAATACATCAACCATATTGATGAGATATAGTAAATGGAATAAATGCGGCTATGCTATAGCCCAGGGTTTATAGTCAATATGAGAGAGAGAGAGAGAGAGAGAGAGAGAGAGAGAGAGAGAGATATTTCACAATCAACCTCTTCAGGGTATCTGATGTATAATTGCATTGTCGATTAGCAGAAACAAGTAAGACGTTGGTGGCGTTTGATTTATTTCACATCAGCTGGATGGAAAACATAAAATACAGGGTGGTTATTATTATTATTATTATTTCATTAGGGAATGCAGGTGTATTGATATGTTCATATACATATTTTATATTTATTTATATAAATGCATACCCCATGGATGTGGGGGTACTCTTAAGCCATCTTTCTCTATCAATTCAGTATGCTTCGTAGCTGATATGCTGTATGTATAAATCCCAGCGCGTTCATGGATGGTATTAATTGTACAGAAAAAAATTCTGGGGCAGCATTTTGGTATGGGATATTTTGCGATTTCATCCAACGTATCTGTTGTAAACAACGTAGTCGTTGTAAACTGTTAAGAAAAATGTGCTAGAGTTTGAATAATAAACTGCAGACTGCACTCTTAAATTCCCCTTCAAACCCAATTTAGTTGAATTATACAAATTAAGTTTCCATTAAAAGGCTTATACACTCGGGATTGCACATTAAATACCTGGCAGAGGTTAATGTGCGCCTCGTTTCCAGTGTTCTTACCGCTTGTCCATGCAGTACCTAAATCGAGGCTGGTGTGTGATGAACTATCCAGGTGTGCAAATAACCCACCTGCCGGGATGAACACCCTCTGCAAGCAGTTTTGCTTTTCTCAAGTCTTAATACAGCATGTGGAACATAATCCGCAAGCTGTAAACTGGTAGAAATATGAACCTCGGAAAAGGAACAGGATAAAAATAGGTCCGTTGTCGCCGTACGTGTGAGGTGGGTTATACTTCCTCAAGCAGCTGATGAGTTTAGATTAATCAAGACAGGCATTTCATCGGAAGCACCGAGGAACGTTTTTATTGATCTGGCACAAAATTACACGGAGGTCATAAAAAGAGGATTTACAGTACATCAACAATTTTCGAGAACATTTAGCGTAGGAAGATAGCCCGGGACGTAAGGTTCTCTCATCGGTTCATTTAATACAGCTGTAGGCAGGTTGGGAGAGAACGCAACGCAGCCTGGTTGTTTCGGGAAGATGTCCCTCTTCAAATTTGTTCGAAAACGGAGGGAAATAGAGGATGAAGTGAGTATGAATTTCTACCATTTCGAGTGCCCATTTCGAGTGCCAGAACTGCAGTGCTGGATATGCACGCTCATTTCTTTATTGCAACCCAAAGTAAAGGTTGGGGTTGGTATTTGGACGAGGTCGCGCATTCCAGGTAAGCAGGCGGTCCACCTGCCCCTTGCGCTCGTATTTATTCATAGATGCACAGGGAGTCTGTGCACTTCAGCGATAAGGTTTCAGAGCTCAATCCTTTGTATAATATGATGAATATTGCAACGCATTTTTCGCTGGCATCGAATCAGGACGGGGAAACTACCTTGAACTTGAATGTATACACGTTCAATATGTTTATTCCAAAGCGGTTACTCCTGTTCAGGTACCCTGTTTAGTTTAAACACCAGTCCGAAGCATGTGACCGTAAGCTGTTTTAAACAAACAGCCTCCCTCTCCAATATTGCCTACTTCAAGGGCGGTTCAAGGGGTGGTTCACAGTGGCCCATATGCACCCCCCCCCCCAACTCCCGGCGCTAATTATGCTTCGCACGTGGTCCCTTCTCCCCCTTCTCCCTCCGAAATGAACAGACTAACGAAGCATTCTCATCCTTTTGTCCTACATGTTACATATATTATAGTAAAACTGCATGTGACTACTGCTCAACATTTGTCGAAGTTAAGCAAAACTTATTTATCCCCCCCCCCCCTCCAAAAAAAGTCCCTATTATGTATATTTAGGTTCTGTTAATTCGGCCTACCTACGTCTATGAGTTCATCGTTGTTGAATATATAGATTCTTGAAAATGTATGCTAAGATAGAAGTTGGGTATTGAAGCAACATCTCCACTCACGTTCTAAAACACATTGCTTAAGACACGTATGTATACGGTATATCAATAACGAAAACCAAGTCAAGACCGTATATGGAAAACGAAGTATATCGTTTATGCTGACATGGAGCCGAGCTGGAATTTGATTCAAAGGGACTGAGCATTATCTAAGCAGAAGTGGATTATACGCAACGCTAAAAGCGGAATGTAACTGAAACGACAATTCCCTAAAGTGTGCCCTGGGTTTCAGATCCTTTTCAGAAGTTTTTGTTGTCAGTTGACGGGAATTAGTCCTCTTCTTGGCCCGAATTGGATTGAGACCACCAGGATATCAATTCTGAAAATGATTCAACAAAATTGTTTTAGAGCACTCAAGTCTTCTGCGTTAAAGCAGTACGTGTAATTATGAGTATGAAAGCCAGCGTGCGTTTCCCCTATGTGTACAATTACGGACTAAACGGCCTCGCGACGGTTTCAAATAGATATATTTTACCTGAAAAGTTACCAGCAATAGATGTCATTTTCTTTCCACACATCAGTATTTCTGCATCCTGAGTTACAGAAATTATTGGAAAACCGCCACTATTTCAGTTTGCATATGGAACGGTAATGGAGAGCGCATGTTGATTAAGATAGGTTACATTATTTACCGCCAGGACTCTTAACTCAGGGTGAATTCTGTTGGCAGATGGGAAGGCCATAAGTCTTGTCTGGATCAGCGATGTTTGTATGTAATATGCTTCCACTTGCAGGGAAGTGGGCATTGAAATATTGTCCACTTGCAAATGCTTGTAGTACTTCTTTATTTAGTGTGGCGGTATTTAATGATGAGGCTGAAACATAGGAGGGAGCACTACCCTATGGACAGAACTCACATTCAGCATGGTTGAAAGAGTACATGGATTTTACATCTTATCTCTCTGAGGGACTGCTAAACCTGATATTAACCGCAGTATAGAAAGCCATTAAGACATACCAATGTATAACGAGAGAAACATCTCTTATTTGGCAATGGACTGTTTTGAGTGTCGTGTGAAAATTTCTTGACGTTACTTGGCTTACATGGTCTTTTGGCTGATTTGACCGTTGTATTTATTATTGCCAAAGTTATGAAATATTTAGTTGATATTAAGGTTCATAATAAGAGAAAACCTGAATCACATTTCAGAGCTACTAGTACATCAATATAGCATCTCTGTGGAATACGTACACAGGCATGCGATGGGCATATTAAGCACAGTTAACTAATGAGGTCTCCACAATGGGTATGACATTGTAATCTACAAAATGTGCAAAATTGATCTCACCTAAGGCTAAACCATCAATTACATAACCATGTGAAGAAAATTGAACTATTTCACTTAATATTTCTGTCAAAAACATACAGCACTGGAGAAAACATTGTTTTTAAAAATGGTGCTGTCTGGTGATATGTAGGTCTGCTTTCTATAGACGAATTTAGATACCCGTCTAATTATTTTACTTGCTGTCACTCAAATAAAGAGCGTAATCTTTGAACTACGTTATATGAGACCATGAGGTTAGGTCAGAGTAAGTTTCCGAGTGATTTAAACGTTAAAAGTTGGTGTTTTATTTCCCAGCATTTGACCGTCGTGAAAACATTATTGCACCCGGGCCTGGAGGGATATTTCTATGAAAAGGTTTTATTAGGGAAATTTCACCCAGTCTTATGATACTGTGTGCAGGTCAATGCTGAATAGACAGCAGAAATAAATCGATTAATAGATGAATAATTAAGATAAGATAAAAAGTGTGAATAAGCAGAATATGAATTTGACCTCCGAATATTACCACCAACACTGACGAAGGGCACACTGCCATTTTAGCCTTTTTGGTCTGGAAATAATCCAAGTAATACGCTACGTCTTTGCAGAAAAACATAAACGTTAACTGAGTCTGTGAGCAAAACGAATCCATTGCTCAAAATATTTCGCGACCGTTTTTAGAGCTCAAAATATCCCACATTTTTGCTCGCAAGCATACGAACATATGAATAATTACACAGGGGTGTCTTAATGTTCTTGCTGAAGGAACGTTCTATGCCCGGGACTTCTACATATCTTTTTTCACAGCATGGTCGATGGAATACCCATTTCAGAAGACATTTCGAAAGCAAAGAGAAAAAGGAAAAGAACCAAAAATAGTGTGCGCCCTTTTCAACCGAGTAGCAGTTTATTCCCTTTGAGTCGTTTATAAGCGTGGTGTTAGTGTGATGAGTTGAAAAACAGAGTGTATTGGATTCTTGCCTCAACACAAATAAAAACAGTATTCCTGCGAAGAAATACATATGTTACCGTTGAAATTAACATAATTTTTGTCAAATAAATCATCTTATTCTTAATCCTTCGGTGAAACTCAGTAAAATGTATTCGTTTTTAAAGACACGTTTTTCTTTAAAGAATATGATACGTATGATTAGGTCTATAATAATACTAATAGTATCTATTTTTTATTTTTTTATTTTTTTTGCAACTTATTAAAAAAACAGTTGGATTGTACAGTAAAATAAGATACTTCAAAATGAAAAAAAAAAAGAAAAATAACATGATCAATTTTAAGTGGAAAAATATAAACGTTTCAGTGAAAGTATGAGGTAAAAGGTATTAATGTGTCTCAAATGCACTGGGGTTCATAATGTGTTACTTAACCCATGCTGTTGTTTTTTAGTTGAAGGCCCTGCGCATAGACAACTCCCACCTACTTGAAGAGAACCATGAGTTGCAGGAGAGATTACAGGTAGGAAGCATGTGCTTAATTAGGCTGCTAAAATAGTGCGTCAGGTGTACGGTAGAACAGTAGTCAGACTGTAAAGCCTAAGCCCACAGGCGTGTTAACAGTGAAGATATGTCGACCCTTCTGATCTCGACTTTCCATTGTGAGCTTTCTGTTGAAACAGAGCTTACCGTCTGCAGTCAATTTAATTAAGCTGCTTGTCAAATTGAGACTCCTGCCATGTCCGCCACTGAGCGGTTAGTGGGGGAACAGAGGTGTTACATTTCAGAAGAATCGACCTATATTCAATGTAAACGCACCTTAAAATGATAAAATATTCTTAGCTTATTTGCTGGTAGATATGAGCGTGCTATTGTCAGACGCCCGTTTTATATGAATGATTAAACAGCCGCACTGGTTGAAAGACAATTGTTTATTGCCACCCCGATGTTCAGAGGACACTGGAAACTCACCTTTTATTTCAACTTTGTCATACTACAAAGTGCAAAGGTTATAGTGTCTTCTCACTCTTCTGGGCATTAGGGCGCTTATTGCAGACAAAAGTTTAAAAATGTAAAACTGGTGCATTTGCTCGCACATCCAAGAAAATGATGGAGGCATTAGAGAGGTGGTCCACAAATCTGTTTCCCCAAAACAGGGACTTTGAGACTTAAGCAGGACCCATGTATGAAGGTGTGGTTGTATTTTTCTCACTTTTTCTTTATTTTGCAGCATGAAAATGGCCAGCTCCAGTTCGATCTGCATGGTTGTCGGCAAGACAAAGAGCGACTGGAAAAGGAAAAGGCCTCCCTAGAGGACAACAAATCCCAGTTGATGAACAATGTATCTGGTCTGATTCGGCAGAACAACACTTTGCAGAAAGAGGCAAATGAATCAAAAGACGAATACCTGGAGCTAAAATCCAAATATGATGAAATAAAAAATAAACTGAATGAAGTACAGCGCGAGAAACAGGACCTGGAGACCTATGCCTCGCAGACGGAAGAGGCAATTGCGCGGCTGTCGCATGACCGTGATAACCTCCAACGGCAAACGATGGAACTAGAAGAAGACATACGCACGATAAAGCTACACCAAAGTCAAAGTCAGGTCCAAGCAGTGCACGTGACTCAGAAGCAGGCCCAGCCTCACGTTCAGACGTCCACAGCATCAGCCCAGTTGGCGGACCTTGGCGCCAGATTCTCTAGAGAAAAGGCGAGACTTGAAGAGGAAATAGAGCATCTAAAGGAGGAACTTGCAGATCGTGATAGGTCTTCAATTAACAGACATCTGGAGTCAGCTGTTAACGATCTGACTTTGGAGAAAGAGCGTTTACAAAGAGAAAACAGCAGGCTTATGGATGAAAGGAGACAAAAGGAAAAACTCCTCGCCATCCCTAAACCTCCTCCGGCAGAGAGAGAAGACTCCGTAACTCGCGAACTAGAAGAACTGATTACAAGATTGACTGAGGAGAAAGACCGGCTTCAGCTAGAAAACCGCCAACTGATAGAGCACCAGGAAACTAGCAGTGTCACCAAGATCAACATCAAACTTGAAGGAACTGTGACACAATTAATGGAGGAACGCCATCAACTCGAAGAAGAGAACCAGAGACTGAGAGTAGAGTTGGAATCGGCTCAAGAGCTTACAGAAGAGACGCAGCTGTTGCGAGATGAGCTCGATAAAGCGCGAGTCAACGCGGAACAGTTCCATGTGCAACTAGACCACCTTACGTCCCGGCTGGAGAAAGAACAAGCACAGGTCCTGCAAAGTAACCGCGAGCTCTCTGAGCAGTGCGAGAAACAGAAACATCGTGTAGCGGAATTAGAGTCAGAAATTGCGACCTTGACAGAAGGGAACGCACGGCTCAAGGATCAGAACGAAAGCTTAGAAGGACAAGTCCGTGAGATTTTAAGTCAACTCCAAGACACATCACAGAAAGATAAATCTGACGTTGTGCAACTGACAGAGACTGTTAGCCGTCTTACAGTTGAAAATAATGCATTACTAAACGATAACCAGCAACTGCGAGACCATCATACATCCGAGGCAACTCAGTTCAAGGAGGAAATGGAAAAAATAAACAAAATGTATAAACTGCTAGAAAAGAACAAGGAGGATGAAATACACGACCTGCAGTCTCTTGTGAAATCCCAACAGGAAGAACGACAAGAATTGCTCAGTAAACTAGAAATTCAAGAAAAAGATGCAATAAAAATGAGAGAGGATTACGACCTCCGTATTTTCCACTTACACACAGAGAAGATTCAACTAGAGGCTAGAATCGGCGATGCCGAAGAAAATCTGGCGTCTGTTAAAGCATCGGTGAGTGACACGCAGACTCAAACACCTCAGGAGCAGGAAGTGAAGGTTCATCGTGGAGTGGCTGAGGAGCATAAAGAAAGCATACATCAGCTGACTGCAGTGATAGATAAACTGAAGGAAGAGAGAGGACACCTCCAAAATCAAAATCGCGAATTAGAATGCAGAATCGACGAAATTAGCCTCTCGCTGAGCATAGAAAAGGATAGACGCATAGAAGATGATGATGAAACCAAGAGTCAGTTAGAAAAACAAGAAAAGGAGATCAGCAGTCTCAAAGAAGAAAACAGCAGCCTCAATAAACAGCTGTCAGAATTGAGAGAAATAGTTGATCAGCTTGAAGAGGGACTCCCGAAATTTATCGATTCTGCTGATTGCGCTCTCGAAAGTGAAGACATAAGAACGGAGGTTATACAATTGCGTGAGCAGCATCTAAGGTTGCTGCGCGTACTCAGCGAAAACAAGACAGGAATTCTACCCCTAATGCCAAAAGAGGCCACTGTTAAACAAAGCATACTGTCCGAAGAAGACAAAGCTGAGCTAGAGAGTCTGCGTTTAGAGGTGGTCGACTTGAGACGCCGTCTTAAAGAAAATCGAGATGAACAGATTTATGAAGAGCTACAAAGAGATGTTGGCACCGAAATGGACGCAGAAGTCCTACGAGTTGAGCAGGAAGTAACTGATCTTCGATCCAAAATTTTGACAATGGAAAAGTCTTTAGAAGTAGCCAACGTTACTATTGCTGACGTCACTTCCCAGCTACAGAAGGCCAGTGACGAAGAGAATAAGCTAAAAGCTAATATCAGTGCATTAAATGAAGAAAATGAGAAATTAAAAGAGGAAAATATGCTATTACACCACCGGATAATGTCAGTACAGCAGACGACAGGTACATCTCTGGAGCAGACGACAGATGGCGATACAGTCAAATTAATAGAAGAAAGACATCAGTTGGAAGAAAGCAATGTGCAACTCAGAAAAGAAATCGAACTTCTTCAGACGACGTGTCCCGAGACGGAAGCGGCATTGGAAAAGAATATAGAAAAACTAAGAACAGAAAATGAGAATTTGAAGGAAAAATTAATGTGCCTGAATAAGGAATTAGAAGAGCGGGTGAAAGAACTTACTAACGAAAACTTTAATCTCCAAACAAAGCTCAAAGAAATCGACTCAAAGGACGAGACTTCAGGCAATGAAAGTTTGCAGACTATAAAACTTCTGGAGAATGAAAATGTTCAGATGAGGTTGGATCTTGAAGATGTCAAAGTAAAACTAGTCCGAGCTGAAGAGCACCTGGCGAGCACTACCACTGAGTTGGACGAGTTAAAAAAGACATCGGAACAAGAGAAAGTTCAACTGCAGGAGAGATTTACAGACTTGCAAACCACTAATATGAAGACAATACAGGACCTAACGGAGAGGCTTTCTGCCTCTATAGCAAAAGATAAGATGCAGATACAAGAGTCAGATCGCCAGGTAAGCGAAACACAGACAGCAGACGTCCGTGAAGATGTTCAGACGCAGCAAACACAAACGATTCCTGCTCAGCAAAAGGAAGCGTTATGTCAAACTGTAGGCGAGTCTCACGTTGGAGAGAAATATGACGTCACTTTGGATCAACTCCGTAAAGCAAACAGCAGCTTGTCTGAGGAGAACACAGAACTAAAATTGCGCATAGCCGAAGCTGAGGCCAAATCACTGGTATCTAGCTGGACGCAGGATGCAGGAACAGTGAAGGAATTAACTGTGACCATTAATAATCTTACTATGGAAAAACAACGGCTGGAAGATGAAAACAAAAAGCTTCAAAGACAGTTAGAACAAATCCCCACTGGTGGCGAAGAATCGGTTCAGGCTCACAGTGAAGTATACTTTGCAGCGCCTTGTGTTGTGGTAGAGGAGTTGGAGCAGCAAACGGATGATGTGGATAAAAACTTAGAGGAAGGAGAAGTAACTGCAGTTTCAAGTGGAGTGGCAGAAGCCGAGCCTGTTGGAAAATTAGATTTGAGTTTGTCTGAGGAGGAAATGAAGCAGACGACACAACATTCATCAGAGCAGCTCACTGACCAAACGACAGGGGACGCCGCAACTAGCAACGAAGACGAAAACGAAGAGCTAAGAACCACCAACGATAGACTAGCAGAAGCGAAAATGCGCCTGGAAAAAGAGAATGCCGATCTGAGATCACAATTTGAGCATTTCAAATGCCACGCTGAAGAGCTGACGGAGCAGCTGCACAATTCGTTTGCCTTATTTGAAGCAGAAAAGGAGAGATTCTTCAGTGAGAAGCAATCAATGACGACAGAGTACGAGCAAGTGATATCCGAACTTTCTAAAGAAAATTACGAACTAAAGCGTAAAAGAGCTGAACTTGTACACGATCTCAGCGACAGTACGAAAGAGCTTGCAGATATGAACGCCCACTTGCAGGATGACAAGCAGCGCATACAGGGAGAGTACGACAAACTTGCAAAGAAATTCGAAGCACACGAGGCTCAAGCTATTCAGACTAAGAACCAAATGGAGATTTCGGTGGCAAGGATGATAAATCAGATAGAGGCCCTTGAAAAGAAAAACAAAGAGTTGACTGATGGATTGAAGGCCGAAGATGAAGATGCCGTGAAATATCGCGCTGAACTTGAGGAGACTGCACGCAAGTTAAACGACGAAAGACTGAGGATAGACGCCATGCAAGGCGATAAAGCCCATCTCCTTGATATTATCAGACAGTTAGAAAGCAGTAATAAACAGCTGTCTGATCTGTTGAAGAAGTACTCTGGCGATGCAGCTGCCACCGATACACAGCTCAGGACTGCTGTGCTCGCGATGCAGGACGAGAAGACCCGCATTGATAATTTGGAGAAAGAGAAATTCCAGCTCATGGAAATAATGGAACAGTACGAGGAACAGAGTGAGGTACTAATCAATAGTCTGAGGTCCGACAAAAAACGACTAAATGAGGAAAATGATGACCTTCGTAACGAACTGGAGGAGATGTACGCCCTTTTGAGAGGAGGGGAAAATGATGCCATTGACATTTTAGCAGAGAAAGAAGCTGAGATAGCAATTATTAAAGCTTGTCGGTCTATAGAGGACGAGGTTTTCAAGACGCATCTTGCACAAGAGGCCAAGGTGGCCAAGGAAAGGGCTGCAGCGATCGAACGACAAACTAATAAGCAAATAAAGGACCAGTATCAGTCTCAACTGGATGATCTTGAACGCGATGTCTTCAATAAGGATTTACGAAACCAGCAACTGGAGTTGTTACTCAGCAAAGTTGAAGAGGAACTTCAGATGGAGAAAGAAATCAACGAAGAGATTTGCAAAGAAATACAAAAACTTCAAGAAGTTAGCACAACTGGGGAAATTGAGCCCATAGTGGAGAGAATTATGGTCAAGAAAACAATAGCACATTTGACCAAAGAAGAGCGAGGTGATTCACAAGACATCAGCACAACAGATGAAGATGAGGAAATTACTGCACCGGAAGTGACGCGAGAGGAACGTAAATCTATACGAGATATCATGAGTGGTCTCGAGACTTTGAAAGAGGAATCAGAAAACGTTGACGTTCATCGCCTGATGGAAGAGAACAGATTACTTGTGAAACGAATGACTGAGTTTCAAACACTCAGAGAAGAAAATGAACGACTGACGGAAGAGTTGCATACGTTGCGATCCGGTGGTTTAGAATTCGCAATATCACAGGAATTAGATTCTATTAAAAGAGACAATGAGCGTCTTATTCAAGAAATGGATATTTTGAGAGCTAATATGGAGGAGGCCAGTGAGGAGTCTGTATTGAGCATGCGCGCTGATGTGATGCGCGTAGATGACGTTCAGCAGGAGGCTATTCCTAGAGATGAGATTGAATTAAAAAAGAAGTATCAAGTGGAAGATCTGGAAAATAAACTCCAAGAATCTGAGTTTAGTAAACTGGGTTTGGAGCACGAATTAAAGAAATTAAAAGAGAAAACAGAAAATGAAAAACATGACTATGAACAAGAGCGAAACTCTTTAAACCAACAGATTACAGAATTGAGTATTCAAGTACATGAGCGGGAAATGTCTATAGCAATGTTGGGTCAACAAATTGAAAATCTGAGGGCAAGATCTGATGACACAGTGGAAACAGATCGCGCTGTTATACAAACAATAAGTCATGAAAACGAAATCCTCAAATCAAAGTTGTCTGAGTCGGTCAAATTGGTAGAAAACGAACGCAGACTCAAAGACGAAATAAACCAAATGCTGAAGGAAGAAAATGAAAAGAACATGAAATTAAACAAAGAAATGGTAGCGAGGAAAAATGAGCTTCAAAATATGTCACTGCAGTTAGCAAGCACTGACAAAGAATTGGAAACGATACAACTAATTGCCGAAAGGTTTGAAAAGACATATGCAAACGTTGAAGAGACAATAGGATCTTTACAGAATGAAAATATATCTCTAAAAAAGACAATAGAACAACTCAAAGAGCATCAACGTAATTTAGACCAAGAACTTGACAGAATGAAGCAACAACAAGCTTCAGAGGCCTCAGTCGACAATGAACAGAATCGTGTTATGATTATTGAATTAGAACAAGAGATAAGTAACTTACAAGGATATCTGGAAGATCGCAATAAACTCCATGAAACCTGCAAAGAACTTAAATGCCGTTTGGAATCTACAGAGCAAGAACTTGTCCAGACAAAAGAAACGAGTGAGAAGGAATGCCAAGATTTAAGGAACAAAATCAAAGAATTAACTGAACAGTCTGCTCATGCCCAGATAGAGCAAACACAAGCCGCCCACCTTTACGGAACGCAACACGAACACTTAGCTTTGCATGATCAAGTTCACAAAATAGAAAAATTAGAAAGAAGGGTAAAAGAAATGGAAGATATCATTGATGACCTGGAAAGGGAAAATGATTTACTTCGCAAGGAAAAAACCGCCGAGGAAAGTGGCGTAACATTGAGAGAGTTGGTGGAAAGCGTTAGTGATATGCCAGACGCGGAACCTCTTACCTCTGTAGAGCAAGTTAGGCGAGACAGTTTACGGGAACAAATCCAGTACGAGAAAGAATTCCAGAAGATGGATTCCAAGATTCTGCAACTTCATCAGGAAAACGCCTCGTTACACGAAATATTACGTCAACAGGAGATAGAAATAGCTTCAGCAGATATTTCGAGCGACAGGGAAGTCTCGCGAGATTCTCCCGACGGAGAAAGGGAGGATCTGGAGAACAAAATTGCCGATCTCACATGCGAAACTAGTCTGCTGCAAGAAATGCTGAAACAGAAAGAAGAGCATTTTATGTTTGAACTGGAGGCATGCAACAGACAAAAAGTTGTTGAGACGAAGTGGCTGCAAGACAAGTGCGAAGCGTTGGAGGCAGACAGGTCCGAGCTGCAAGCGGAAATAATGCGACTTCAGGTGGAGCGAACTTTTGATGAAGACGCTGATAGCAATGAGAAAGAGCAACTCCAAATAAAAATCGATGAACTTTTAAAAAAATCAACGGACCTGACAAGTGAATTGAACAAACGCGAGCAGGCCCACGCCCAGGAGATTCGTGACTTAAATATCCAGATGGAGAAGGCCAAGTCTCAGTTTGATACCACAGTGACAGCATTATCCAATGAAAATCGCGCTCTGCAGGAGAAGATCAAGGCAATTCAAGCTAAACCGGGAAAGAATGGAAAGGGTGGGAAGGGACGAGCGGACGACCAGGAAGTGATCGACCTCAAACGCCGCCTGGAGGCCGCAAAATCGCAGAAGGAAGATGTAGAGAAGAAATTTAAAGAATTGAAAGACAACGCCAAGGACCAGAAGAAGAAGGCAGTCGATGAAGTCCGCAAGGAACGCAGTAAGGAATTTGATAAAATGAAGTGAGTATATCTTTGTCATTGTATTAATTTTTACTACTTCACCTCAGCGTTTTGGAGCGAGGGGCAAAACACGTGTGTTGGGTGTGATAAGGCATATGTGTCTACCTGACCTGAATAATGCGAAGGCGTGAATGTTTTAACAATTTATCGTTTCAAATGATAAAAACAAATATTAGCTTTCAAGCGCAATCGTCACATTTAAAAACTGTGATCGTTTTTCTCTCTTTCTTGTTTTATTTATTCATTTACACTTGTCTTTAAAGAAAAGAATTGGCTCAAAGAGATGAACACATTGCTGGCCTGCAAACCGAAATGGACGGGTTACGAACACGGATGGAAAGCCAGCAGCAACTTCTGGAGAACAAGTACAGCAGGTATTGGGATAACAGATTCGTGAACTCATCGAAAGGTGTACACATTACATTTTGATATTCATTTTAAAGTTTTTAGTACAATACATCTGGTATTTTTTTATTTCTAACCTAGCATTATATCTGCCCATATAAGCCGCGGTTACTATTGATGTATACCCCTGTAGTGGTTGTGATTTTATTAGCATTGTTTATTCTTCCACATATGAAAATTTAAGTATGTCATAATTTTTCGGAGATGTTTATTTATTTAGTTACTCTTCCATTTAATTTACTTTAAGTATCGTAGGCATATATTTCATGTTGGTAATTAAGTACAAGGCCTATATTAACATTTCAATCGACCCCAGCATGAAATAAAACAAGTCATTGTTATTGTTTTCTGGGAAAAAAGGGACCATTTGAACCAAGAGCTGGAGAACCTCCGAGTGGACATGGAGAAGTCGTTCGCCTTTGAGATGGAGGCGAAACAGGAGGAGATTGAACTGTTACACAGGAAAGTTCAAAAGCTAGAGAGAGACAGTTCCGACAGCGAGAGGTCATCAGGAAGCTCCCGTGAAACCTCGCCCAGAAAGCATAGATCACCCAAAAGCCCTACCGCCTTGCCACCATCCAGCCCACTTCATCAACCACCGTCCCCCAGCCGAATGCAGTGCTCGCCAAGCCCACCCATAGCCATACCAAGCCATCCACAGTGCCCTCCCAGTCCGCCGCAGAGCCCTCCCCGTCTCGCTAGCAGTCCTCCTGCAAGTCCTTCTTTAGAGCCATCCACCCAAGTCAAAGAGATAGAAGAGGAAAGACACGATGAGGCCTCAAAGGTAAAGCACGTTTGTTAAGTGTGCGTGATTTAAATCTAAATGTTTATTTTGTATTTAGATCAACGCTTGCTGTACATGTTTTGCAGGTAATAAAGTAATACGTGCATGCTTGAAGAATGCATTGTAAAGGAGAGTTTACACGTACCTAACAAGTAAATTAACAGGTCTATTCGACCTTATTTAGATCTAGATATAAGAAGACAATCCTTCATCGCATAATTTATCTTTTTAGGCAGAGCCCCTTCAGTCTAGCAGCGGTTCAGATTCCGCGAACCACGATGGCAGTTACGGAGACGTTGACACGAAGGACGACGATCTTTCAGGGACTGCTGAAGGCTTTAGCGAGGTTAGGCGGAAACGCAGACGACGTAAGCGGAAGTCTACATCCTCACCAAAGTAATGCCACTAAATGGGGAGACAGGGGAAAAGAGAAAAAAACACCACAAAACACTAAAAATACGTGAGGGGATCACTCCGTGGATGCATTTGAGGCTTGAGTAACGAGGAATATAAGGAATATTGAAAGGGTTGAAATAGTCAAAAAGTGTTGAGCGGAAATTATGAAGTGTTCATACTGTGAAATAATCATGTTGAGTAAATATTCTGAGGTTTTCGTAGACCGAGAGTCTGAATGTCATTTTTTCAAAAATTTGTGGATCGAAATGGACATGCGTTTTACTTTATTTCCACAATTGCATTGAGGCGAAAATACGATATCTGATGTTTTATACTGAATACGGATCCATATATATATATATATAAAATACGTTAGTATTTTGTTACTTTGGACCTTTATTATGTTGATATTATGTTTACCAAGGCAGTTGTAGTTCTTCGGTGATCCTTGATTTGATTCACAGTTATATTTCAACAATGGGAAATCATATTTAGCTCTTCAGTGATTTCGTGATGGGAAACGGTTTTAAAGAACTGGTTCCAGACCAGTGACTGAGCCAAAATAACCAGAAACACCATTGCAGATGAAAATTTGAACATAAAAAGGGTTCTGGATTCATCGATAGATGTGGCTGATACAGCGCACGGGTCTTATCTGTCATCCAAACTGTAGATATAAATTCAGATGTTATGCATTCGCCTACTTAGCAAAGGAGTGTTCTCTGAATTTTGTAGCATACGGGAGTGGAGGATTCAACCCAGTACCGTTGCCAAATGGCCAGTCGTAATTGAACTGGTGTGCCCACGAAAGTATTGTACATTATTTTGCAGACTATTTTACGCAACGTGTGTGTGTTTGTGTGTGTGTGTGTGTGTGTGTGTGTGTGCGTCTGTGTTTGTTTTTTTATAGCGGATATCGCGTGGGTCATGTGAAGCTAACTATCTAACTGGCCAGCAGAGAAAGTCGAGAAATAACATGTAGTCCTATGGGAAATCATGAGTCGGAATTCCGCCAAAATTTCATGGTACAGCCAACGACATCTCATTTTTAAATAATAAAAATTATATCAGAGAATCCTACATGCATAGGCCTATACTTTCACAAATCTGCTCAATGATTTTATATCAGGTAAAAGTACGCAATTTTCTCCACTGCTCCGCTTCAGTACATATGCAGGAACTCGGGCATCGCCGTCTGCGTCCGAAACTGGTCAATCTAAGCTGCAGGTGACGGACCCGCAACCCTCTTATACAGGTGCAACATTAAAATAATATTTGGCTTAATACTGAAGTTCCACGGCCAAGAGAAACAATTTACTCATTATTTCTATGCATCATGGCCAGTTAAAACAGTGCTGATTTTTAATGATTATTCTATGTCCGGAGTGTGAAGTGCCTTATTACAGATATGTGAATTTATGTTAAATGTTAAATAGTGCAAAAGCAGCTAATGTGATTCTTGTGTATATACAAATCTGAAATGGTGTACAATGTACCAAGCACATGATAACGCCTACACCCCATCAAAAGTTTTGGTTTGTGCACCGTAAGTCGTTGATTATTACCAAAGACAGGCTTTTCTCTACCCCCGGTACATGCTTCCCTTACATGTCGAAAATTGGGAAAAAAAATCACGCCCATGCCTGTTTGGTTGTATCATTGTCTACTATGAATGCTGATCTTTTTATTTAGAGTGCTGTTCGTAATTTAACATGTTTTTGCTGTATATAATTATGTATTGATTTTGTACTCACGTTACAATTGTACGGAAGGAGTAAAAAGTAAGAGTTCCTTTTTGCGCTACGTTTAAATTATATCATGCTATCTTTTAAAATCAGTGATATAAGTGAAACATTTGCAGTGGTTGAATAAACCATTTTTAGTAATTGTTGTCGATGTTGTCACTTACATGTGGGAAAAATACATGACAAATGCGAATCCCATCCAATTGTTATTTATTTTCCTTCAGAAACCGATAACTGATGTGCTACTGGTAATACCACACCTAATCATATTGCACATTCACATGAAGCCGTCCACCTAACTAAACGCCGTGCGAGTGGCTTGCAGTGTGGTTTTGGCACCGACAACCTGGCGAAAATTTCAGGTCCACGTACGATACTGCACTGCTGTTGTGTGGCAAAAACCATCAGTCCATACATGAAAAAAATGCACGTTATTAAAATTTAAACAGAAAAATATAAATATAGGTGCAAGTCAGTCACTATAAATACACTTTTACATAGTATGCTCTAACTGATATCGCCAAACCTTTATTATTTTATGTGCACATTGTTACCAATGTTTGTTTTTTTTTTAATATAAACAACCTCCACATTTAGCGGTAGGACTGGGTTACAAATATGTACTCGAAAATGTTAACTCTTACAACCCCAGATTATGGCGAAGGAAGAAAAGTTATTGCTAATGCAGAAGTCACAGTGGTTGAAAGGAATGTGCCACTTTTCCTACCCAGTGCATTGTGGTTGCAAGGATAAAACGATTACTCGTGGTAGAGCAATGTGCGCTCCCAAATATCTATATTGGCCAAATAAGTATCCTTTATTAAAAAAACGTCTTCAATGCGCTTCCACCTTCGCTCTGAACCCATGGGTCCTAGGGGATAAACTTTTCAACTGTTTCTTTATCAGTGTCATCAAGTATGGCTTGTATCCCATACGTGTGAACCAAGCTTCAAAATATCGCACCTCCGGACTCGACACTTTTGATTTGAAAAACCGCCATTCTAGTGTTATCACGGGGACATTGACTACTTCGAGAAACTTGTCGGATTTATTCAGAGCTTTAAGCTCTGATCCCTCTATATCCATTTTCATGAAAGCCTTGGTAAACGAGGCAGGTATGATACGGGCTAGATCGTCCATGGTGGCTGTGCGCTTTATGAGCTTCCTTTGCTCATCTTTTACCGATGATTCTCTACTATCCTTGATTCTGGTTCCACCGATGTTTTTACCATCCATTTCAAACACGACATCTTGGTAGACATTTGATAGAGGGGATGTCACTAAGGTCACTCTGGGTTCAAAGTGTCCTAATTGCAGAGTCCGACGAAGACGGTGGGCCGTGGGCGGGAATGGTTCCACGGCAATCACGCGCCTACCAAGACCGAGAGCAACTACTGTCCACAGTCCCAAATTCGCTCCGAGGTCTACGAAATCGAGCTCGGGGTCTGCATTAAGAATCAAGCGAAATATACTGACTAAGTCACTCTGCCAAACCTTACCTCTAATTAAATTAGCAGAAATTATCTGATCGTCGTCAGCTTCATATACGCAGATAGGCGTGCTGATAAAGCCCTTGCCTTTATATGTAACGCATTTGAAATTATCTGTGCTGGGTGCTGCTAAATTTAACACATTCGGGATTGTGGGAGATCTGTTCTCAACAAGCCGGCGCTCCGTCTTTTGATTTTTCTTTGATTCCTTCCGGTTGTACATGTATCTATATTTGACAAACATGATGATTGGCATCATCGATAGAAACAAAACAATGGCCATTAGCTTTTTCTTGTACATTCTGGTGTTCATAGTCAAATGCTTCTCTCTCCCCAGATATTTTTGTTCGTTCTTCTCTTTGTATCAAATTAACCAGTCAGGATTGCAAAATATACTGACCCACATTTACTTGTGTGGTATATTAAAATCATGGTTTATTGATTAAATGATGTTATGTCATATTTTATTTAATGGTCTTTTGCAATAGACTTGCCATTCAAAATGGAATATTTTGATTTAAAAGGTATGCCTAGGGTAAATAGTATTGTTTTTTAATGTTAAACGATTTAAAACCATTTAGTTGACTACCTTGTCTGTAGTCCAGAATTACGTTATATGCTATGACTTCATTGAATGGGGTGGTACTCTTTGGGCTGGTCCTGGCATGGCTATGATAGAGCATAGTTTCTGTTAAAAAGTCTCCATATTTCGGTATCGCCTGCACAGATGATTTTGAAACTTTACACACAAGTACCCAGTTTAACGGTGCGTGAATTGAGCGAAACAGTATGTCACAGTATTGTTGCTATGCGCCAGGATGGTGTAAAACAGACAGACACATACAAAGCTAGACAGATTATTGTCTCACAAGAGATGATAGGCAGATGGCGCTGCAGCCTTACAGAGGTATATAACTGATATTGATACACCTAAGCAGAGAACATGCCCAGGTATCCACAGTTTACCACCAGAAACGGTTTGCTGCTACAATTAAAGAAATGCAATCCGTTTCCTTCGAAATGAAGCACAGATTGCTACCAGGAAAAGTTTTTCAAGGATCTTTGCGGACGCTAGACCGGTTTTGGCAGGTTAATATACCAGACGTCTTAGCTCCCAGAGTACCTTTAGCTTAAAACCTCCACTTCATACACCATAGTGTGATTAAAAAATAAAAAAAAAACTTCCACTATAGTCTATATAGTACTATGGTTTACCATATGTAAAATAAGTTGGAACACTCTACTCTCTGATATCAGGGGCTTCTAAAAGAAAATGAAAATTTTAAGTATGACTTTGTAACTGACTACTAGCGCACCCTGGTGTTACAAAGTAATAACAGTCAACGCAATGATTAATATAACAGCAGTAACTTTATTGTAATACTTTGTACATACATTGCACATATATTCTGCTTTACAATTCTGTCATAGCTGGTTGCTATATAGGTTCTAGATACAAACGTGGTTTACAGACGACCTTTTTCATGAATTAATGAGGACTATTGCTATAATTAAAAACAGTACATACACATGCATAACTCAAAATTGCAACAAAATGATTTAAATGACGGATAACAGCAGTAATTTAAGCAATCATAACAAACGCTATTGGGGTAATCATACTGTATTAAGTTGAGACAGACAGTCCAGATTTTATTAGATCCATGTTTCAAAACGATATCTAGACCACTGTATTTTCTGTGTCTAAAGACAGGGCCAACTCCAGATGAAAGAAAAAAGTTTCAGTATCCAGGACCATTTGAACTTGTCAAAACTGTTAGTTTCCTGCTCCAAATAAGCAAGTGAAGGCGGAAATAAATAGTTGACTGAGATGAAACGCTTCGTGCTACGTGGTTGATACTATCAACTGGAATTCAGAACGACATATGTTTAGGGCAGCTGATCTTTTTTTGGACGGAATACAATACACCAATTAACACAAGGCACCAAAAACAGCCACAGTGATGATTATTTTGTGGAATTAAAATAGGAGAAAAATATTATTAACCTTACTTGGAAAAGCTAAGTATCTTTACCACAGAATGAGAATTTGTTGAAGACTTTTTCGAGATCCTTTAATCTTATGATAGAAATGAACTGATTCATATTCAGGAAGAAACATATTTCTAAGGAAAACAATGACTGCAGAAATGTAATATTTTGCCATAACCTGCTCACCAAACACAACTGAGCTATTATCCAACACATTTTGAGTTCCCAACTAACGCAGTGGAACTTCACCTAACACAATGTCATGGATACTTCTGGTATAATATATATACATCAAAATAATACAAAGAAACAAAATTTAAAGTTAGAAAAAAAAATACATAAAAATACATCACAAAATGTGCACCACTACGTAGTGAATGTGTGGCATGTCAGTGTGCCCCTATGACTTTGTACAGCTACATGCACTTATGAAATTCAAAGCTGATGATTTTATAAATACTACCAAGATGGAATTAAGAAGAAATAATGACAGTAATGCAAATAACAGAATTTATCCTTCAGCTGATTTGTTGCTCCTACATTAATGAGACAGACACCAGACTAGTAATCTGTAAACTTTTATCCTGTAAGGCACTTCATGTTCAATCTACAACGTAACTACTGACACATAAATTTTAGAGCTCAACTTCAGACAATTTACTTTTACACAAAGTAATAAGCAGACTATAATTCTTGCACTTTTTTTCTTTCCCAAAAAAGAAATTGCCCAAATCTATCTATACAAGGTGCTGTGTTTTCAACCTACTATTACAATGCAGTTTATGTGTTATTTACAGCTTGGTCTGAGATCTACAATGCGACTCTGTGTCATGCAGCACTCCTTTATGATGTACAATTTTATATAATATATTTGGCACATGGAACTTCCATTTTCGTACATATCATAGAAACATAAGATTATAAACTGAGCTCATACAACCATATCAGTATATTGGATTGTATCTTTAAAAAAACTTTCAACATCTTGTGGATGTATTCTGCCAGTTGAGTCTTTGGAATATTATATCCCTTTCATTCAGAGTCCATCAGAAAAAAATATCAAAGCAGCAGTTTTCAAGATAACTGCTGTAAACATAACCCACAATGCCAGAGCATCACTTCATTTTGTGGAGTCATTTTATTTCAACCACAAACTGTGTCTTCATAAGACCCATGAATCAACAACCTTCAAATGCTTTTCCTCACTGTACGACAGTGTTCTTTTCTTTGTCTTTTCTTAATTCTTTCATCAGGGTTTGTTGATATCACTCCACTGGTTTCTGAACTAGATCAGAGTTCCTCCAAACACACACATGCTTACCTCAAACAGTGACCACACTTTTTTCCCTTTGTCTTGAACATAACTGGCTTCTGTAAATAGGCCACCTGACCTGATTTTGTTTCAAGACAGGCATGATCTGATTTCTCTGAAGCATCTAATCGTTTAGTTAACTGGTCAGCATGACCTAATTCAGTATTTAGGTCAGAACGACCTTGTTTTGACTTTGAGCATTTTGTCATGGTTTGGCTCCATCCCCATGGCAATTACCACTATCAGCTCTCTTGCTGAGACTAGTTCTCTACTTCTATATCTAATGGACTGGTCCTGCAGTATTCAAATAAGCAACATTTTGATTGTTAGTATTGCTTTCTGATTGGTGTCCACTGGAAATGTAAACATTACAAACAGCTGTAACTTAGGTTCCACTTTCATGCTTTTTTAGTCCTAGTATGTTATATAAAAGACAGAAACATGGCAACCACTCCACAATCAACAAAGCCTGTTATAAACAATCCTTTGCGGCTCCTTTTGTTGATAAAGGCCCATTTTAATATATATTGCCAATGTGTACAGTTTCTTCTTTCCTTATGAACGTGCTGTCTGAACACCAGTTCTTGGCTAAAATAGCAATACACAACTATGATATGTCCCCTGAATCCTCCTCCCTGCCTGTGTTATACATTGGTTGATAGCCTTGATATGGTCCCCTCGGGGTAAAGTTCCTCTGGGTAATTCCGAGGATCCATGGAGTGAGGGGGTGGTGGTCTGCCATAGGCAGGGTTTCGGGGGTGGTAATCTGGCTCAAACCCAGAGTCATATGACCTAGAAAATAAATATCCATTTGTTGAAAATTGTACCTATATCATATGAACATGCCCGACAAATAAACATATTTACACGTTATATATATGCACATTGTGGTGCAATGTGCATATGTCGGTAGAACCAATAACAAGGCATTAAATTAACATAATTCTGTAGTATTTCTTTACTTTTTGGTTATTCTGTAATTTGTTAAGCCATCAATCTTCATTATATTATTAATTTTCCCACACAACTTTAGTTATAAATGGATAAAATAAATCAGTTTCATCTAATGGTACTTGGTATAGTGTAGTCAGTTTAGATAGAATATTAAACTAAGGAAAGATGTAGGTGCTGTTGAAGGCCAAATTCATTCTTATAAACCTCCCTAGGTTGTATAGTCTAAAAACACTCCAAACATGTAATCATGTATGGACTTAAATTTCTCTATACACACACATACAGTAATTTCTTCCCTTAGAAGAAACAGCCTTCCACAAGAAAAAGAGCAGTGTACGATAATGAAACTAATAATGCGCATCTATGATAACTTAAAAAGCTGTACCCCAACCTATCGTAGGGGTGTCCTGCCCCCTTGTCCACATCATCCAGGTATTTGTATGCTTCAGGATAGGTAGGAGGGAAACCATAGCCATTGGGATACGGCCTGCCATTGGGCTGAAATAATACAGTCATAATATAATTTTTCATCATAAAACAGGCATATTTCTAAAATTGAACTACAACTGATTTATCTAAGGAAAAAAAAAAAAACTCTAAGTTTTATAGTTCTAACGAGTAATCAAACAAAGATAACAGTCTTCTTTGACTTTACAGCTTCAAGGCTAGAATTCTTTTCAACAGACCCTGATGCCAAATCTCCTAGTCAGTGAAAATTTTAGGCACTATATGGTTAACACTGCTGATGGCCACTGTGAAGTAATCAAACTTTTACATGTCTTACCTTATAGTTCACATTGAGCTCGTCATACTCTGCTGAATATCTGCTGTAGTGGTCTTTGTTGTAGTCATTGCGCCAGGGTTCCAGGGGACCGTTGTAGTCTGGGTTCTTGTACTCCACTTTAATTTCTGGCTTCTTTGTGGCTGAGTCAGCAGAATCAGTATCAGATGTTGACGCTGTGGAGAGAAAGGCAAATGAAGTCTACAACCTTTTTTAACTTTATGTTGTATCTAAATAGTAAATGGTCCTCTCTTGCAATCTGACAAAAGAATATAGAGATATTTTTGCATACTTTGTTTAGATTTAGATATCTTTAATTTGGTGATCAATGACATCGTCCTACAAGGACTTTCTTTTATGCTACTAAATATTTATCAACAGTTTCTAAGACTAAATATGGTGCTTATAAATGGAAGCTGGTACCCAGAGACACTTATATGAGTATGGGGGAAATCTAGATAAGAACTCCAGAAGCAAAGAATTAAAAGAACTTGCCAAAGAAATTAATATTCCTTATAATCCCTTCCACCTGATTCCAAACAAATGCCCACATGGATCAATAAACATTTTTTGTAAAACACAATGACAGAACAATAACACAATGCTTATACCCGAGAGCACCATATCATTTTGATTCCATCAACACAGCAAGTGCCATTCACAAATAAGGGCACAGTATGCTATATTTCCCCAAATATCTTCTTGTTATTTTACATTCTATCTATGCAAGACAAGAACATTAAACAGGCTACAAACAAAGTAACACACAAGCACAGGAACATTATCTTTGGAACTAATACAAACAAAAGGCCAATCAATGCTCTCAGTTTTATCATGTGTTAGTTTTATATGCTGTCAACTGTATCCTGCACAGAAATTTACACATGAACTTGTCCATTTCGTGAACTCTGTCATCACAGTGATTTTATTTCTCTTTCAGGAATCCACTTCAACAAATGTTGTTCACAAGATTAAAAAGCACAACACCAATACAAAATTTCAAAGGCAAAATAAACATCCACCAGGGATAAAATAATTATAAGCAATGGATTGGATACAAAGAGTATGCCTAGTTTCTATGCAAATCAAATGTATTAACAAGGCAGCAAAGCTGTCAAATGTACAGACAAAAAACAGGAAATAACTATGCACAAAATAGGCTACTGTCAATTCTGATGCAAAAGTACATTATGTTAAACTGCAAATTCAACATCAAATTTTAATTATGCTCAAGCAGCACCCAAAATTGTGTTTTCTTCTATTCTGATGCAATATTACATAATGGTTAACAGCATAATGACCGTCAATTTTTAATAATAAAATATACATGGATTTTCAGAAAATGTGACTAGCATGGGTCTTCAAGCCCGTGGAACTTCAAAGTTACACCTTGAAAATGCCAATATGTGAAAAATTAAATTTTCACAAAAAAACTGTTTAACTGGCAGTAAGAATTACCAAACAGACTGCATTGCCTACTGAAGCTGTATTTTAGTCCNATAAAAAGCAGAAATCATAATAACAGTATTTATGTTTAAGAAAATCACAGGGCTGATAAATTACACTATCAAAGTCTTTAACAGGCACATCCAAAACAGTCTAGCTTAAAATACTCACATTTTAAAAAATAAATTTCAGCACCCAAGAAGGGTTTCAGAAAACAAAAGAAATCGAAGAAATGTTTTAAATAAGAACAGAGTCTCTTTAAACCAATCTTTACCTTCTATTTCAATTGTAGGTATGACTAAAAACATGTACAAAGGCAATATTATATTATTTTAAATCTACCCTTAAATACTTGAAAGTATCATATAATTTACAAAGCATTTGTATACAAGTATTAAAGACAAAACAAGAGTCAAAACTTCAAAAATTATAAGCAACATTGGGGCTATATGTATGTAACTTCAAAACCTTACAAAAGAAAAAGATTGTGCTCTTCAATAAACAGCAGTGCAATATAAATTCAGATATGTCTGTATGTATGCTAAATAAAGGAACACATGCAGTCACTTAACACAGGTGGATACAGGGGAAACCCACTACAGATACATTGGGACTTTGAGGTTACGGGGTGAAAGCAGAACGAACCCTCCCACAACCTGATTTTCCTGGATCCACCAGTGGGTAAATGATAAAATGTCATGATCTTCAAAGTGAGATAGATAAGAGCTATTACCTTCTTCTCTGCTCTTGGTCCTCTGATATATAAAGATGATGATGGCTATGATGAGGATTAGTCCCAGTCCACCAAACACACCTCCCATCACAAAAGCAAGGGGGATAGCATCTGGAATGGTGAAATATATACGAATCTATGATATTCATAGAGTGGTTATTAATATGGGCACAATATAACCCAAAAGTAATTTCCGTTTGAATTTGTGGACAATAAAAATAATTATCACAATATGAAACTCTTTTGGGATGTCTTCTTCCTTTTTTCAAGCAACCTAAACATATATCATACAAAGTCTAACAATAGTGTTTTCAGCAGTAAACAAAGTTTTCACACCAGTTAGCTAATAATTTTGAAAGAAATGTGTAATAAAAGCAACACAGTGAAGCAGAGACATGTTACAATTCTAAAAAACAACTTTTTTCTTAGTTAATGCCCACTACGGGCAGCTAAGAACACTCACTAAACAATATTTGTCACAGAAATTTATACCCATACTGATTGCTTCTCTGATGTTAAATAGTTGAGGCAATATTTTCAAAATGTGTTTTAACAACTGATATTGTTATCTGTATGACAGTTATAATGTCAGAGTAATGTCTGCACAAAGATCTGCACAACTCATGAAGCAGCATTATTCAAACCAGTACAATGAGTGCCCAATTTAAGTAACAAAGTGAAAACAACTTTTTTTCTGTGTGACACCGCCTAGTGTTGATTTTAGTGTTAAACTTCATCAACATTAGCTAAGTATTTCTTTCTTTTCTTTAAAACAGTTTTGAAGTGTTACTGGAAGTGTCATTGTCTAGAATAGTGCACTTTAAAAAAAAACTGACACAATATACCACACAATATACCTGTTAAGCAAGCAAAGTCATCTGAAAGGAAGGACACACACACAGTTAAAAAAAAGAAGAATAAAAAGCCAAACACACTATTTACCTCCTATACACCAACATGTCTCTGTAACATGCAAACAAAATAAAAGATAGGCTTGGATGATTGAACAAAAAATAAAAAGAAAGAAGCTACACAACATGCTTGTTTAATATTTGCAGAAAACAATGTCTGTCTTGATTTTCAACCAAAAAGAAAGTAAAATGGGTGACAAAATAGCTAAGATATGGAACACAGAGAAATATTTATACTACTGCAACAGACAGAGCTCTAGTCTGTAGAATGTCTTGTCATAGTCTGACCTGCCACCTACCTTTTTGTTTGAGCTTGATAACCAAGGCATCAGTGCCATAGGTGTTTTTGACACTGCAGTTGTAGTCTCCATAGTCTCCAGAATGGACATTCACTATGGTTAGTATGCTTTTTCTGCCAGTTGGAAGGTCTTCCTCTTCTACTTTGTATCTGGGATAGTAATTAGATACGTTTACAGTTTTTATTTCAGAAAATGAACTCAGCTCAACACCACCTGCATGTCTTACTCGATTCTTGTAATAAAGTCACATTTAGCTGACAACATATCACTTACGGAGGCTGACTGCAATCACAATCACACTTACCTTGCACTGTCTCCAAACTGCAGCAAGTCCTGCTCCTGCCTGGCCCATCTTATCTGGTCAGGTTTGGGCACTGACTCAGTCAGGCACTCTAATGTGGCTATATCTCCCTCCTTGGCGTATTGCTCTTCATTACTGATCACCTTAGGGGGTCCTAAAATATCACACGAGTAGTCGTGATAATAAGACTCATAACATGGGAAATATGAAAAGCAATTAACAAAAAAAATCAAATTGACATTTTCTGACATGGTGTGCAGCGCACAGACAATATTGGTAATTGATCAGTCACTTCTCTGGTGTCAATCGTTACTTGCCCCCCAAAGTCACTTACAATATTTGTCACATCTGAATCAACAAGTAGGCCATTACCTTTACTCTCTTCACATAAGAGCATACATAATTTTGCGTAGTACCTATGCTAATATTCAAGGCAAATATATCAGCCCTACTTACCTTTCTTCAATAAATGCAATTCCCTATTAATCTCAGAGAATCCAATGACATTAGAGTAACATATATAAATGCCCAGGTCACTTTCGGTCACTCTGGAAATGGTCAGTGTGTCCGAGCTGCTGAGGATACGCTGCGACCCCTTTTTCTTCCAGACTACTCGCGGAGTAGGGTTCCCCTTTGTCTTACAAGTCAGGGTGGCCGTCTCTCCAAGCTGTGCTGCAGCATGTTTGATAGGTACTGTGAACCTGGGGCCATCTGAAAATTAGATGAATGAAACCTTTATTCAGTTGCCCAGAAAGATCTGACATTATAACATTCAACAGTTGTATCAGTATTGGAGTTTTTATTTAGACTTCTCTGCAGCAAGTTCGACCCGCTGTGTTCATCCTGGAACCTCTGAACAAATAATTACAGAACCAAGCATCAACTTGACTTTTTTTAAGAAAAGAAAAAAACTGCCATTCTAGCTATAAGTTGGAGCACTAAGATTGGTATATATACTTACATTCTACAGCCATCTGATAATTTTTCTTGGTGCTTCCAACACTGTTGATGGCTTCACATGTTATAATATTGCCATCATGGTCAGCTGTTAGCGAGTCCACTCTAAGATATTTACTGTCAGCATCACCTATCTCCTCATTGTTTCTGTACCATCTGCAAGAGGCCATTATACTTGATAATGTACAACGATAAAGCCTGTTGTCATAGATAGAAAATACATCAATGGAATATATAAATCATAGAGAATTAATAAAATAAAATAAAATACACATTCAATCAATCAATCTTCCATGTGCCATTGATAACTTACTTCCAGGTGATGTTGTTGGGGTTGCCCCTTCCTTCACATGAAAACTGTATAGATTCTCCTTCTTTTACACCTAACTTGGGACTAGCAGTTATTGTGACTTCTGGGGCATCTGGAGAGGTGAACAAAACGATTACTTATTTATAGTATAAGAAAAATAAATGAGCAATGATCTTGATTTAATTTAAAAATCAATAAGTAAGCTTTACAGTTTATTATAAAATTAATTTCAGCAGAGAAGAAATTAAAAGAATCTAAAAGAAACACAAACTAACAAATTGAATGTAAAAATAACAATATAAAATATTATGCCACATACACACACACCCACACAGTATAGCTGAGTTAGAAAAAAAGCAGTGTTTACAGAATTTAATATGGTCGCTCCACCATATTTTCCATCTAAATCACACCATTTCCCACAGTAACATATTTTGTCTTTTCTATGTGACACTCTTATGAAATGCTGCATAGCTTACATAACACTTCCAGACTGGCCGAGGTGGTCAAGGGGTCAGTAAGGAAAGCATTCATAGCCTGGCAGGAGTACCTCTTCCCCTGGTCAGTCTTGGACGGGGTGATGGTCAGGTAGCTTATTGCATCTTGTCTCTTCCCATCTGCCTGGGTTATTGCTGAAACACAGAAAGTAAAATTGAAAACACATGAGAACCATAGAACAACCAGCATAAACACCATTAAGAACATCTTAGCATTCTTTCTTGTGGTTTATATGAACCCTATTTTAATGATTCTGCCAGCTGTCAATTTGTATTGAGAATTGTGCTAGGTTGTGCTAGTGTAATCTAACAATTGTGTTAGTTGTGACTGTGGCACAATGGACTAGATTATTAATTGTACAACTTCTAAGCACAATCACTTTCACTATTCACATCCATGCACAGGAATACAGGATACATTTCATGTGTTTATGTCATTTCTTATCATCCTATATCTCAGAGCCATAATTACATTGGAATAAATTCCTTCGGGGGAAAAAAGACAAATAATCATAACCCTAAATATCGCTATGACTGAATGCAACAAGGCGTGCGTGCAAACATATGCACCAAGAATACATACCTTCATAAGAGACATTATCAGTGACTTCTGCGCCTTCTACAAACCACTTCAGCGTGGGAGCTGGCTTGCCGTTGTTTGCTCTACATGTCAAATTGTAAGGCTGACCCTCCTCTACATTGACTACAGGGCTGCCGTAGATTATAGGGAAATTGGGAGGTACTGAAATTAATAAGAAATATTCCAAAATATGATTTATGCAACAATCGGTTTTTATTGGGACCCACTATCAGTAACTACTCATGTTATCAGCAATAAAAACTTTTAAGAGTAAATAAAAAGTGTAAATTTTTTCACTAAATATTGTTTTGTACTAACTGCAATATTAACATAACTTATCTCAAATGAGGGTTGTATACACAACTAAACTAATATCTAAAATAATTCTAAATCAAATATATTCTAACTTTTTTATTTTCACTTCTGTTAAATAATAATATTCTACTCTTCTTTAAAATGTGTTTTTGGAAAAGAAAAAATCTGAGAAACAAACAGTCTCTGAAGGTAAATTAGAGAGAAGTAATACTCACAGAGAACTGTTAACAGTACACTTCTACTCCTAAATTCTAGCTTTTATTTTTATTTTCTCTTCTGTTAAATAATATTCTACTCTTCGTTAAAAAACAATTTTGGAACAGAAAAAAATCTTAGAAACAAATAGTCTCTGAAAGTAAATTAGGGAGAAGTAATACTTACAGAGAACTGTTAACTGTGCACTTCTACTCCTGACCCCTGGCGTGGTATGTGTGGCCCCTATCTGACACTGGTATACGTCATCATCCTGGAGTTCTGCTTCCACTATCATTAGGTCATAGACACCTTGAAAAAAAGAAAACAAAAACATATTGTCATCATCATCAGTCTATTATATCTCTATAAATGTATATGATTTTGTATTAACTTAATCCCAGTGTCCCAAATTAAGATTATACAACTTCACTGTTTGCAATAATCATCTCTTACAGTAATGAGTCTGCCCTTAACATACCTCAACTCTTGAACAATTTTTGACAATTATCACAGTAACAAATCTGTATAAGACTAGCCACAAAAGGTGTATTTCACAATTATGGCAATATCCAGTCAAGAGGGTTATTAATTTAAGTAAACATTTTCAATGGCATGCCATACTTTTATTAATGTATCCTTCAAAACAAAATAATTTTCATCAACAGTTGATTAAACAGTCACAAACAATACAATACAAATCGATACAACGAGGAACAGCGAATGATGATACAACAAATACTAGAACTATTTCAGTATTCAAACACTGGAAGAAATGTACAGTCCCAGCACAATGGGGACCCCAGACGTACTGAGATAGGTTACACACATAATCTGATATTTGAGAAATACATTATACACAGGGTCTGACATACGAGCAAAAATAAACACTGATTGTACAAGAATTTCTCTCTCATGCTATTCTAAAGCTGGATAATGCTGATAGACTTGATGGGATATCTTGCAATGGTTCGAGAAAACTATAAGATTGAAACTGAAGAACAGAATTATATTGAGAATGAAAACAGAAGCCATCGAATAACTGTGTATGGAAAAAGTCTCTCTGTCCCCACAAGAAGTTGACACAATGAGCAGTACGTAAAATAAATCATAAGGAACAAGCTGATTATTAAGAATATCATAAAAGTTGCATCTGTCAAAGAAATGGGCTAGTGCCCTGTAGATTACTGGGCACATACTACATTTAGAAATGAAAGAACAGCACCAATAAGAGAACAGAATGATAAAACAAAGCCTCTATTAAATGTCTATAAAAGAAAAGAAATTAAAGAAAATATGGGTACGATTTGGATTAGGTAGAAAAACGGTCTTGCATTTTTTTAAAAAAGAAATTAAATTTCCAAATAAATTCAGATGTTGGGAACCATTTTGGTTCACAGATATGGGAAAGTAACCATTTAAAGTAATAATAACTCTTCGTTTTGGCCAAAAATTGGATTTTCCTGGAAAAAACGGCAATTTTCCCGTACTTACCAATGGTCAACGACCCCATTCCTGCATTCAAAGTTAATCCAGGGTTTTTTTCCTAAACGTACGGTTTTTTGTTAAAATCTCTTAAGAGATTTTAACTGACGGAGCTCTCTCTGACATTGCAAAGTCACTGGTGACCTACTTAAAACCGCGGGAAAAGCAGACAACACCAACACTATATAAGATTCATGAGATATATTCGTCTTTTTGTTAAAAATGCATTTATATCCACAATGTGTGCCATTCTGGGCTTTTCGTTATCCGACGCACTGTACAAAAACTCGCAACTTACGTCTGCGTCTGCACTAATGCGTTTGGCGCCATGTTATTTTGGTCTCGAATGAACGCGAGAATCCGCGTGACACCATTACGTCATTAGCAACGAATGCACTTGTCGACCGGAAAAAAGGCATCGTAAGCCCTATTGACAAGCACAGATTTTAGTTTTCCTACAATAACGGCCGTTTTAGTGGTAAAATACAATAGAATATATTTCCATGCGTTTTTTACAATGTATTTCATGCGGATTTTTGAATCTCAAAGGAAGAGTTATTATTGCTTTAATTTGGGTGTTTCACAAGGCAGTCAGTCAGTATACTTGGTCAAAGTATTCAGATTCAGTTGCTGCTTTCTGCCTTCTACAATCCATCTTTTGTGAACCGCCATCACCATATATTTCGATAAGAAAATTTCAAAAAAACATCTCATTTTCACTGGGTATCTAGACCCATGCATGACAGAGTCAAAAGTCATCGTGTATTCTTATCCCAAAAATTTGGCAAGTCATATTTTTATGAGGTAAAGTAGCAACTGCGCCTGGCATGGAAATACTCACTGAAGGTTCCGTAGGGTCCTGAAGTCAGTGAATGGAAAACGAGCAGTGACATGGACTGACATATGTTTTACAGCTAATAAGGCTGTGAAGACTGTACCTACAGTGTATGAGCAGTGGAGAGAAAGTGTGCGTGTTTGACTGGTTACAACTGGTTACTATGGAATTTTGTCTGGAAGCTAGAAGTAATTGTGCTCTTTTGACTGTTCAACAGTCAATGTAAGAGAACTTTTCAATTCAAGCAGCATGGAGTATGAATTAAGTGCTTGTCAGGAGTGTTGAATCTGCTGCTTACTTATCTAAATTTTTCTCTTTGATCAATTTACCAAACCAAAAATAAAAATAATCTGTGTTTCAGAGACTCCAATGGCACTCTAAATAGACTTATTACTTAAATTTTATTTTTCTACATCATACGTTTCAAGGGCAGAAATGGATTATTAAAATATAGTGCAGAGAGTGCTTAAATGTATCAAAAAAAAAAAAAAAAAAAAAAAAAAAAAAAAAAAAAAAAAAAAAAAAAAAAACTGAGACATTAAAATCAACAAACAACATTCACATCAGCTGAGAAAAAAAAGCAAATAAGAAAAAAAAAAACTTTGATCCAGTAACTTGTCAGTAACTATTTCAATGCCAGTAAACCAAACACATCATGGAAAAATCTCTCCCATTCTGCTTGTAGAAGGTTAACCCCTAGTGCCCTTAAATAAACTGTTGACTTTATCATCTGCTGCAGTATAACACCTCTAGTACAAAGAACAATGCCCATAAACTAAAATGCAATATATCTATGAAGCTTGGTGCAGCTGCAACAGGCACAACTGATTCTTGTCGAAAAAAAAAGTGCAAATGCAGCATCACTTCAACATCAACAAAGTTCAAAGCTCAGTGGGTTTTTTTAAAAGATAAATGCCTAGGTTATGTTGAAAATGCTGTACATAGACAGGCAATGTTTTAAGAATAAATACACTTCATCCCTTCCTGTAGCAAAATGGTTCTCTTTTGCAGTACTAGGTTTGAGATAAGCCTCCAGACAGCTTTTTAAGTCAAGTGATATGCCGTGATGGCTCAGTTCGTGGGACAGGGGCTGTAACATCTGAACATTGCCTGCGCACTGTCTGAGACTCACATATAAACAGAGTATTCAAAATACTTGAACTGTCAAGTATCCAGTGCAAGTAAATAAATTTTCAACAAGATTCTTTCAAAAAATATTTGTGGATCTGGAAGACAAGGGGACAAAGTTGTTTTTAAAAATGTCACCCATTGTTATCTGTTCTATTTACATCTCAGCGTAGTTTTTGTAAGTGGACCAAGAAAAATGTTGTTGTTTTTCTTGCAATGGCAGAGATTATGTGACCTTTGATCACTTTTTTCGTTTGTCCATGAAGATATTCTATGGTAGTGCCTATACATAATTCTTCTGTAAGCAAGGGAAAGCAACCCATTGCAGTTTTTGTGATCTTGTGATGAGCTGAAAGGGGCATCACATTTGTGTCACATCTAACACGTATAATCTGAACAAATGTCCATATAATCCAATTAAACATATAATTACAATTTGTAACCACTACCCACCAGTGTAACACTTACCATTGTTTTCATCTCCCAGCATAGAGTATCTCTCAAACCCTATAAGTGAGCGGTCAGTGCCCAGTCCAAACCCCCCTCTGGTCCACTGGACCTGCCCCTCTCTGTTCTCCACCTTACATTTCATGATGACTGTATCTCCCTGTTTCACCTGCTGGTCTTCAGGCTGTACCACAAACCCCTGCTGGCAGTAGACTGAAATAGAGAACATTACCAATATGATTGAAATTACTTATTATTACTTATTACTAATTACTTATTATTATTGGCAAAACTTTGCTGGGAAATTAGTCTGAAACAGAGAAAACACACCAATAACAGTTTAAAAACCCATTGTTTTCTGTGACAAATCTTTCTTGACAACATACTTCAGTGGAGAAAAATGAACCAATAAGCTTAAAAATATTTATTTTGTGAACTTCAGAAAAAACATACTGCCCGTTCCATTTTTAGCTAAAGAGCAACATTTTTTAAAGAAAAAATATTACACAACTTCCAACTATTTTTTGTTTAGGCTAAAGCAAAAACAAATGCAAAATTTAATGTTTTTATATAGCTAATACATATATGTACTTTATAGGAAGGGCAGATAGAGTGCTGACATTTGGGTAAAAAAAGCAAAAGAAAAAATCCTCTTACAGAAACAATCAGTCTGCAGATTTACAGAGTTTACACATCCAAATGACCACTTCTACAAGTTCAGCATAAATAAACTTTGTAATGTTACCTTGAAAAAGTTCAACTTTGCCTGCTATAAAATGTGTTAATCGGCCACACACATGGGGAACTAAGAGCAAAGATACTCAGTTAACTTATTTATGAGGAGGAAGCTCCCATCTGGAGAAAAGCAAATCAAAGGAATTGTCTTTTTTCTAGACAAGCTTTAAAAAGTTTATGAGCAGGATGCGGTAGGTCAATCTTTCTCTTCACATTTTTCATTTTTGTGCAAGATATTGAGACGGCCTTTTATAAACCTGATTGGAATCCCCAGCAAGTTTTGGAACAATGGAGAGAAGGATGAAAAAGGAGAGCAAAGAAAAATAGAGAAAAATCAATACCCACTGAAGCAGCAAACGTGTTTCCATTATTTCATAATCAGCGTCATGAACCCACGTTGAATGTATTAACTGTATCGCCCAATACATTGATTGCTTCCTTTCCTAATTTGAACTAGTCAAATCGAAGAGCACCCACTCCTGTCTCTGAACCACTTCAATACAACATGCTCTCTTATCGAAAAATTAATAAACCATCATCTGTTTATATAAATGGTTCTACAATTCAAATCCAATATCATCCCCAAGGCAATGATGAATATTGATTAAGTAATAGTTTTTAAGTGACACGTCTGCCTCCTACTGCTGAAGACTTGTGTAGTGCAATTTCATTGCACATATACGTGTCAACAATTCAAAACCACTGAATTTCAAAAAGAGGGTCTGTACCAATGCTACCTTACTTTTTGTCATATCAAATCCTAAATAAACTTAAAAACCATCTTATATTTTCATTTAAAATTTGACACACCTAGATTTTCACTAATTAAACCAATTTTATGTCACCGTAACAGTGATTTTGGCTCTTGATTTTACCTGTTGATAGACTATACTATCACAGTAATTCTTAAATTTATTTCAGCAAGCGTAGCCAGAGCTACTTCTCTGGTTTTCAAACAGTGAAAAACATGTAAAACACACTGACACGTGTAAGGATATATCACTATTTATCCACCCAAGTATATCAAACTGAACTCTTAGCTTATCTACAATGCCTATCTAAATCTACCGTGCCCTCTGGCTCTGTTAAGGCAAAACCCTGGGAACCAAGCCACATGGCTCTGTGCTGTGGGCAATGCTGAAGTAGGCAACCCACAGCACAATTTCTCTCTGGCGCAGATCAAACACTATTATTGGCACAATGCAAATCTAGCCCTTGAACCAGACATCAGATTCCAATTTTCAAATTTTCTTAGGAGAGAAAACAGTTCTCATGGTTGCCAATCTAAGGTCAATGTAGCAATACTATTAAACCTGGTTTTATACAAAAAGAGTCTTAAATTTCTATGAGAAAATTCTGGCTGTGGTTTTGGCCATGCTTTGCAGCAATGTTTTCTTTTAGAAGAGCTGCATGTACAGATTAAATATTTCACTGTACGTGGATATACCCAAAAAAAGAACAAGGACATGGCTATCTGTACATTATACAATTAAGAAATAATCACCTACTAGCATGTTTGATTGTTCTGACCTAATTTTACCTCTCCACATCATCCAAACAATCTATTAGTCCCCTAATTAAAATAAACATGGAGGAGCCTAGTCAGTATTATGACATAAAACATGCTCACATGTCAAAGAGGAGTCATCCCCCTCTCTGTACCATATAACTGTATACACATAGCCACTGCCGCTGATGGTTCTTCATTTGCAACCAATTGATTGAGGTGGACTCATTAAAGTATAGCCAAACAATGAAATGCTTTAGAAGATAAATGGTTGGAAGTTATTACAATTTAAGTTAGTTTTACAAAATCACAAAAGGAGCAAAAATTATTGGAAATATTAATATTTCACTCCTGGTTGAGGTTTGTAATAGGGAGTACATATTTCATAAAGCAGTATGTACTGGAGGGGTGGGGGGAGGGAGATTTCATAGTAGACATAAAAAATGTGGTGATTGACAGAATATACTATTGGCAACCTGTTGATTACATTGTCTAAGGTGCCACCTGCCATGATACATATAAAACACAGTCCAAACTGAATTCAGGCCAAGCCAAAACCTTGGGTCAATCTGTCCAAACATAGAACACATGCTCTAGGAGGGCCATCTCTGCAGCTCTCTGCAGCATATGTACACATGTCAGACCTTCTCTGTGCTTCACACAGAAACAATAAGGTGGAGTCATTATATCATCTGGAATATACATGTTCTTAGGAATGTTTTTAAGAATGTGTTTCTCAGTGAAGGGCCCTTATCAACAATGAGATGGTTTGAAATTATCTGAAGTTGAGATGTGATTACTGGGTATATTGTTCACTTTTAAGGTTTATGACCTGTCATCAAACAGACAGACTGAGTGGTAATCTGCTTCAAATTTCATAAAAAATCTTAACTTGTTCTTCAGTTAAATGGAAGCAGAATACAAATTCATTACCTTGGTAATATCTTACTATAAAGGGAATCTATACTCCCCCAACTGTACTCTTTGATTCTAAAGATGTACAAGATTTGAAGAGATTTCAGAATTACAAGAACCCCACCTTCTTCAGACTCAAACTGGAGCCAGCTTTCCTTAAGATAACATATTCCTGCTTTATTTCATTAAAACATATTAACCTCAACTTATAGCCTCGATAACAATCTACACATCTCTCTTTGTGGATCAGTAAAAGAAATCTCTAAGCATCATTTAGGGTATCTCTGGTTTCCTGAACCAGAGTTCTTTCTTCCATCTTGGCCTGTTTTTTATCATGGCGGACCTTTGATGTGGCAGTGGAACAAAGTAATGGCCTGACAATCATGAGCAGGGCAGGAGATTGCCAGTGGTTCTTGTACAAGGTAACCCCTTCAACACTCCAGAGGGGCCTGATATAATATAGACCATTGGCCAGGCATGTGTACAGCTCTCAGGTATTCTCTATGAGGAAAAAGCCCCTGGTTTTTATAATCTGAACCATCTGTTTATTGTTCTGTCTTGGCTTTGCAAAGGTGTTCTTGGCTTGGTTTCGCATGGTGTAGTTTAGCAATATTTGAGTAAAGCATATTATACATGTATGCTTGAAAGGTGCTGTGTGTTTATCTTTACAGAATAACCTTTAACGGTTTAGTTTAAGAGAAATGGCTTAGAAAATATGTCTTGTTTTCCAGAAATTTTGCTACATCCTTTTTGATTTCTCAGAAATGAATTTGTCATTATGGACAGTCTTTTAAATATTTTCTTATTCACTGATTTATTTATTTCTGTCTATGCTAAAGTTTCAAAAATAAGTCTACACAAGCTGGTACTTTAAGTGGTCCATGTTCTTTATACATACGGACCAGTATTATCAGAAAGTGGTAACTTCATTTGGAACATGGTACACAACTGTTTGCGATGTCTAATCTTATATCAGACAAGAAGGCGTTCAACATTTTTTATGGTCTCCAAGACCCCATATTTAGTTTAACTGTATCATCTCCACTTGTCTGAACTCATCTATCATATTTAGATTTCTTTTTTTTTATTTTGGTATATGAACAGAATTATTATAGTAACTGTTAAGGTTTGGAACCATGATGTTTTATCATAAATCCATGTGTATGTCCAATAAAGAGCGTGTTACCAAAAAACAATAAATGGTACAGCAAAGAACTAAATATGTACATGATTTACAGTCATTGATATCTGAAATGGATATCACATGGGTTCAAAGACAGTAAATAAGGCCAATGGAAAAGAGGTACAAGGAACAGGATGACTAATTCCTAGGAGTGGAATACCACCACATTTTGTGGAGGCCACAGAACAATGCTATGTGGCACTCATAAAATAGTTTTACTGGGACAAGATAATGATAAGCTCTGTCCAAATTATTTGGTATCTCCACAGTTGGCCAAACCAGGGAATTCCTCCTTTCTACACATAAATCTCATGGAGAACACATTTATGTGCATAACTTTTTATGTTTGACAAATAAAATTACATTCAAAATAAAACAAAGTTATTGCTTTAGATTCATGATTTAATCATAATGTCTACTTTTTTTAATTTTAGAAAAGTGAAATTGCATTTTAAACAAATCTTCAAATGTTAGTTTTTTAAACCTTTTACTGTCCAAGCATCATTTTCTGTTGTAAAACATAGTACCGTATATCTTTGTCAACTATGCCTCTTTTTTTTTTTTAGCTTCACAGACATTGAGTAACAGGCTCCAGAGAGCCCAGATTGTGGTTCCATGGGTTATGAAGTGGAAGATCTGGTAATTAACCACCCTCCACTGCTGTTATGAATCACTTCAAAGTGCTTGTGGAGTACCAAATTCCACACTACAGGTACTCTTTTTTTATAGGCTTCATGTAGGATTAAATAGTGATTTCTAGGCCAGGGTTTTGATACTTATGAATTCCTTGGTGTAAACATGCATGCTGGCTGATCTACCTATAAAAGACTAATGCAGTTTACTTTGGTTAGGTATTCAACCTGAGATTTTATTCGATTTAACAGAGAGGCAATCTGGGCATTTGAGGACTCTCTAAATGTCCTTGCAACTGTTTCACGAAGTTAATACCATAATTGATATTTAATAATCTTTGGGATTCTTGTCATTTAGATAATATTTTTAGATTTGACCACCTCAAATACAAGTCTGTAGTAAACTATCCACCAGATACTGAGGGCTTAGCTCAATGAGCCTGGGAAATTCTAGCCTTTTATCAAAGCTGGCCCATCCCTCATGATGGCTCCATAATGCCAAACTCCTGAGGTGATGCACTGAAGCTCATTGGTAGATACCACATTACATAATCATCTGATCACTCCTGGTATTTTACACAGGTGCTGGTGTAATCTCAGTCTGATACTACTGCTGTGTTGGTAAATACTATGCAGGGTTGTGTTCAAGGGTTGGGCACCATGCATTTTACAATACCAGAAGACCAACACTGTGTAAAACATACCTTTTGAAACAGTCACAATAGGCTTACATTAATTTTTCCCCACCTTATAAAAATGGCCAACAGGATCCATTCAGATCTAATAAAATTGCACAAAGAGGGCACCATGAAATAAGTGAATCTTGAGCCATTAATTATTACCAAACTGTTGTGTAATATGCTTAAGAGCAATTCCTGTTAGTAATGTGCAAGACCGTCTGTAACAGCTGGTCCATCATTACTGATGATATACAAGCCTCAAGACACCTCCTGGCATGGACACTCATTTATTTTAATTTACTCCAAATAAAGACCATCAAAGGCAAAAGCAATACCACTATTCAATAGTATTTCTCTAGTAAGGCTAGTATGCTTAACAGAAACAGAATTTAATCAGGAAAAAATCAATCCTTGCAACATTAATTAACTCTATAATGAACTGTTATTCTTTCTTAGAGAAACAATAGACTGGGCTGCTTTTGTTTTCTCCTATAATTAACTTCTGCATATAATTCAAATTTCTGTTTATGCTATGTTTAATTATCTTCATAATTATGTGGCAATGGGTCCCTGAACACTGAGTTGTGTGGCTGTGCTCTTGGTTATTTTTATGTGCCAGGTTATCTGGTATGCCAAATTGATAAATATAACAAGGAAAGAATGACCAGGGGCTACAAGGTGATTTACTTATATATTAGCTTTCCTTGTAAATCAATTAATTTGTGGCATATGGTACCCATTGGTCGTCACTGCTTTTTGTGAACTAAACAAGAAATTGTTACATTACGTATAAAAAACTTGACTTAAACACTTTTTCAATTTGATTTTGATACAAATTTAGCAAAAACCGTCAATTCTCTTCACAGATTCCTTTAATTTAGAAGGAGACACTAAAAGATGGAAACCCTTTTTCTGTTCACAACACAGCTAGGGTGGAGTGACTCAATTAGGTGATTCAACAACCCCACTGTAACGGACCACCCCCTATCTGCAACTTCCACTAATTAGCTCCTAGCCCACTCAGTATTAAAGGCTCTGTTGGAAATCTATACTGACCATCATGGTTCATCAGCCACTGACCACTATCTACTATTTACAATATAAACAGATGCTTGTTTTCCCTGCTACATCCCCCTAGGTAAGTAAACCATGCATTTTCTATATCCCATGGATAGGCAAGATCTTCTGTTGGCAATCCATGTCTTGGGGACCAAATACGTATCAATTAAGTAAGTATCAGATTGATAAATACGCTGTGATAACATGGGCGATAACATGGGCGTGAACACTTCATCAACCCCACAGTGATGTCTGATTTTGTAATCAACTCATTAAAATTTAGCTGTCTGTCTGAATTCAGTGTTTTATGATTAAAAGGTTCACATGCTGATTGATTTTGTTTGATAGTAGGAAATCAAATAAGAGCTATGCTTTGAAAATTCAAAACTGTCTTTTTATCAGTTGTGATTACAATAATGTCATAACCTTGGAGATCGTAACATTTTCAGATTTATCATGGAAACAGTTGGAGGGGGGTGTCAACCTTTATTCTGCACCATGAATTTATTTTCATATCAAATATAAAGTTCAAGCAGCTATATAAATCTTAATAAATATCTATAAATCTATATCTATCCATCTACTAATCAGCTACTGCTAATACATTTCTATCCATCCATATCAAGCTACCTATCTATTCACAGACAGCCAATGCAGGCTTCTCTTTCTTAATATCCACTAGGATTGCACAAACTGGGAAATGAAATTGAAGAAGTGAAGGTTGGGGTATAGAGTGATATAATATAATATAATATAATATAATATAATATAATATAGATAGTATTACTCTCCAGCATTACTCACCTGTACCAGCAAGGGCTAACCCTGCCATTAAGTGTAACAGTTTCCTTATGATGGCCTTCTCCATGTTGTATTGCATATTGTTAGAGCACCAATATACCTCTCACACCTCAACTACCAGGAGTCTACATGTACCTTGATCTTTATATATGGTTGGTTTCTGAAAAAAAATTAATTATTTTAAAATAAGCTATAATTACTACACATTTCATGTGCAGCTCTTCTTAGAGTGCTTTTATCTCATTAATCTAATGAATGACTAAAAACTAACCAAGGAAAAACACACACCATACCTGAAATAAGAATTGTTCAAACAATGTTCCTGGAGATTCATTTCCAAGATTCTAAAAACAATTAAGTAGATCCCTAAAAATAAATCATTTGCTATGAAAAGCACGTGCTATGTAAGAGACCATAACACTTGCTTACAGCCAATTCCTTGTGGCATATGGCATACTCTCTGTGGTACCATCCTCAGCTGCACATACCAGAAACTTACTCATATCATCAGATGCCTTTCAATATCTATGATTGAAAATGAACTATTTAACACGCTAAATACTTTAGCCATGACAATCATAAGAAAGTATGTCTAAAATATTCCAAGATCACCCCTTGTTTTAGGCACCCTAATGCACCTGAATCACATCCTGCTGTTAAAAAGTCATCAAGACCCAGCCATGCTTATTCTTTTCGATGAGGTAATGGTAGTTTTAATTAATTCTACCTCTAATCAACATTGTCTTCCGTCTGTGTCTGACACAGCAGCCATCCATGCCTGGCACCTGCCACAAAAAGCTTGCCCTTAGGCAGTCAGGGCTCTGAAAGCATTTCCAGATTCTGTTTCTATTGGAGCCAATAGAATCAATGTTTTAAGCAGAACATGCAATCTGATGATGCTCCATTTAATCTAATGGCAAGTGTTAATATCTACCTTCCTGTGGAATTATTTAATACAATTTGTGCACAGAATGATTAACACAAATATGAGATAACACAAATATGAGATAAAAAAAACTACAAACACAAAACACTATATCAGTTTGCTATGTAACCATGGGAAATGCATTTTTTAACATAAATAAACAAATAAATAGAATTTTTCCAGAAACTTATTTTTTCCTACATGATTTTAAAAGATTTGAGGAACATATTGTAAAGAGAACCATGCTCAAAATGCAACGAGATACTCTGATAAAGAATCCACAAAAAGACCAGAGGAACATTTAGGTACAAATTTTACCCTCATTGGTTGTGACACCTGTCACAGTTTTATGACAAAAAAGCTTTGGTCCATACACAAACCAGTTCTTAACCCTGCCGTTACCCATGGAGATGGCATGAGATGTTTGTTTCAAAAACCTGTTTTGGTTTTCAAGACAGACTGGAGCATTTGTACAAGTCAGGCAAGTCAGCCATAGGAGTGCAAAGAGCTTAGTCTAAAAGTCAAAATCTCCCTTCAGACCATGTTTTGCTTTTAAACCTGCAAACAAATCTTGCCTGCATGGAAAATGTCAATATAACCCAAACTGGTCCAGGTACAATGCATCATAACCATACCTTAGGATACATTGCCATGACAACAGCTTTAACAAATTTCCCTAGATACCATGCTGATGTAGTTCACAGTGAAGATGGACGTGTTGAAAAATATAAAATGAAAACAACTTTTCATCTTGTACCTTCGACATCCAACAAGCTACATGCCTCAGTTTGCATCCTATAATCATAGATCGTATCCCATTTAAGAATCCACCTCATCTTCCTTCATGGAACACATAGGAGCAGATCTAGTCAAATACTATTAAGCATAAGGTTTGTTTAAAACACCCCTTATTTTAATTTAATCACTTTACAGTTGCTTTATTGGGCACATGTTACTGCAATATCCAAACTTGTACCACTCTGTATACATCTGTAAATGCTTAAGAGACAATCTAAATGGAGCAATGTGAAACAGGAGTGACAATACAGAACAATGGTGTTATCTAATATATATAAACATCCAGATTTTATCAAGCTCACCTACACATCCATTACCAAATTACCCTTGCAGCTAAGTAATCAAAATATGAGTCTTCACACCTTAAAACCAGGGACCCACAAAAACTCATCAAACATTTCACAAAACCACATGTATGCATGATAGCAGATCTGAAAACAATAAAACCATGATTGGTGGCCATGGCAACACATCTTTCAACAAACATGAATGCCAGCAATTCTGTGCACAGGTTGACCTAGTTAACTACAAGTTTTCCCAAGCTGTATGAACCAAATTTCTATTGGCCCAAATATAACACCCTCATGAATCTAGAACAAGTAGTAAGTAAAGTAGTAAGGCTGGAGTATCTGACATCAAGCAGAGTCGCTATCTTCTGAGTGTTGGCAATAACATTTAGGTTGGGTTTCAAGAAGTACTTCAGTCCCTATCTGTATGGTATCAGCCACAGGATAATGTGATGAATCCTACATGTCTGTGACTTTCACCTGATGTGCTTCAATGGCTCTATTTCCTGGAGTTTGCAAGTCAACTCTCCCAGCTTCAAATTAATAAATAGAAGTACTAGTACATACCTGTGTTAATTTACCTCAGGATACAGAAACCTTAGATTTCTTCAATATGAACATCATTATACCACATATATTACACAATAAGTGAATGAAACTGAACTGACACCACACACTGGACACTCAGATGCAGAAAGCATGGGCAATGACATATAGATAGAACATTGGAGTGTATAACATCTGCTTTTAAAATTTGCTTATTACAGAAGTTTTAAAGTACTTTTTGAATGGTCAAAAATGACAGGTATGGCACTTCTATTTACAATCAGGAACTCGTTTGGCTTTACACTTTTGACCACAGCCTCTGCTACTAACTGGTGTTCATCATCTATTCTAAGTGGTCAGTCTAAGTGACCATTAATCAGATTGGTGAGTTACACCCCACTTTCACTTGTCATTCCACCCAAACAAATGTTAAAAGATGCTGTTTCCATCTATTACCTTTGACAAGCTGCTACTTGGTTTTATTCCTATAATTGGAATACAGTTAAATTTAGGAATCATATATATAACGGAAGCCATCACCATGGTGATTCATATAACAGATGCAGCCATAATACTTAAATATATATAACTGAAATAGTCAACTAAATTGTACATAATGATGCCATCTTTATTCTAAACAGCAAATCAGTGCCTTCTTTGGTGACTATAAATATCTGAAGGCAACAGTCTGAGTGTATAAAGATACACAAAGCCCTTTCCATTTTCAGTAAAAATAGAACCTTGCAGGTCTTTCAACAAGCATGTCAGCTTAGTGGCACTAAAAGAATGTGATCCTGTGATCATGACAATGTCAATTATCACTTTGATTCCAATGACAATTCAACAACAGACTGCTTGCTGACAGAGAGGATGTTTTCACGATATTCTTGTAACAAAATCTAGCCCAATGAGACCCTGGAGCTGATCCTTGAAATGCAAACATGATTAATGATAACGATGATGAATGAAAAAAAACCTATAAAAATACCTTATATAAGACCGAATTCTGTCTATTTTGCATGTGAACAAAACTGAAGGAAGAATCCAAATCTGTTTTCAGCACTCATCCTAACATGCTCACTTGGAACCGTACCAACATTCGATCTTTACCTATCTTCTGTATCAGTTTTGCAATACTTCCAATGATTTCTGTCTTCAATACAACCCACTTTGTCACATTAGGTTTCTGATATGACCTTGTTATGACTTTTACAGATATCAGTTGGCATGAAGCCATATGAATTTCTATGAAAAGTACTTGCACTTTCATTACTGCCTGCCAAGATGCAATTACGTATGCTTGTGTTACACACAAACTTGTTTCTCTTATAAGGTTGAACCAATTTAGCTATTCAGGTCCAGATTATCACTGTAATGAAAATAATAAGACGATGTAACAAACAGAAATTGTCTCTGCCAGATAGATTGGCATAAAAACTGTCTTTGTATATACCAATGTTTCACTGTGTTGGAATTAAGTTAATATAAAACAATTTCCATTCAGCCCATTTCAAATCATCTACCCAGACTCCCTTTTCTTTTTTATTTCTCTGATATCATTTTAATAAATTGTGCATTACCATGTTCTGATATTTTAAAAAAGTACAAAAAATATAACAAAAAATGTGTATTCTGAGAAGAAAACCAAACACAGTACCTGTTTTCTGATCTGATCATAAATCAGTGTGATGAAAGAGAACAAGATATTTCTCCTGGAAACTATTTCAAATGACTCACAAGCTTCAACATTTCAATTCAAACACCATTCACAAAACAGACTGTTATTCAAAAAGACCGAAGTGCCTTTCGCCTGTTACTGTTTTTTCTTCTCCTCTTTTTTTTATTTTTCAACCTTTTGCATGTTTTTCATTTAGAAGTGGAACTGAGCCAATATGTCTTGTTTTGAACATTAATAACCCTGGGATATAAAAAACCCTGATTTGATTAAGAATGAAACCTAATGGTTGACCCCAGTGTAATTTCCAGCTACTTTTCTTCTAACCAAGTCCTGTTATACTATAATTGTGACATCAAGGTTATTAATGCCTTACCCCATGGACAGACCAATGGCAACCTACCGGCATACAGAGCCTAATATATTTCAATGCTTAATTCTTTTTTTTTTCACCAATTAGTTTTAAGTATGAATTTAGAAATTGCATTTAATATCAAAGGCAATCAAATAGGAAAACTTATTTTCTCCTAACTGTTGAATCTGCTGCTTAAGGTAGAGAGTACTTACATTAGATAAGACTTACAAGCTAAAAACCATTCTTGATGAAATTCACTTTTACTTCTCATGATTAACTGAAACTATTTAAGAAATATATAAGTACATAGTAAGTTTTCATTAAGTAGCCACTGCTTGACTCCACCATTGTTACTCTCATATCACTGGTATGGTACCCCATGCTGAGCAAACTGCATCTTATTATGGTAATTCTTTAAAATATTAAAATTCCTTATTTTTCTAATATTAAACTTTAACTTTTTCATGATTTATCATTTTCAGACATACAAAACAAAACAGATTTTGACATGAAGCCAAGTAACTTTGCAAAACCTTTGAATCAGCACATTAAGTATAATAGTGTATCACTTTTT